CCATCCGTCTCATCTTCGCTCTCTTTCCCTTTTCTGTAATCCCACCAGATTTCTGTTGGCAGCTTGTGTAACCTACATGATGTATAGGGTGCTTCGTATCGACAATCATATTCACAGGACGTTGTTAAGGTTGGGGCATCTCAAAACCAAATTTTGAAACTGGCTTAAGATGTTCTTTTATTCCAAGTGCCTATGTATCAAATTTCGTTTAAATTCTTCCATAAATAAAAAAAAGTTGGCACTGCGCATGTGCAAAACCAAATTTTGAAACTTGCGTTTATTTCAAGTGCCTATGTATAAAGAATAAAGAATAAAACGGACAGCCTTCTGCTACTACTTCAAGATTTTGGTGATGTTGACATATTATGTATTGACGAGCATTGGCTGAGAGAGGAACAGTTATTGCAATTAACGATCGACAACGACAACTATGTAATTGCGGATTATTTTTGTCGATCCCATAATAATCATGGCGGTACAGTGATATTCATAAAGAAGGGCATTCAGTTTGAAACCATTGGCGAAATACGAGACTTGTCGGTGGAAATGAATTTTGAAATATGTGGAATTCAATTAACGAATCATTCAATAACAATATTATCTTTATACAGGCCGGATCGTAATCAATGCATTTTTCTAGAAAATTTAGAAGAAGCCCTACATATTGTTCAAAAGCATAAAACTTTAATTTTATGCGGAGATTTTAATGTTAATTTTCTAAAACCTTCGCCGTTACTAAATAATACTTTAAATATATTAAATACATATGGTTTCACTACTACTATCTCAACACCAACCAGGATTGCATTTAACTCCAGTAGCTGTATCGACAATATTATTACTAACCTTCCAAGTACTTTTTACCGCACCTTCAATTTTTCTGTAGATTTCTCGGATCATAACGCCCAAATATTCATTATGAAAACTAATAGAATAAAACCTAGTCTATACTTGTGGAGACGTGTTATCAATCAAACTAATTTAAATTCATTTAAACACCACCTACAAAGGATTGACTGGAGCCGTTTATACACCATACACAACGTAGATCAGTTCACCAGTCATTTCTTTAAAATTATTCAACCTATATTTTTTAATTGTTTTCCCTTAAGGAAACATTACCTTGGAAAGAAAACCCGGAATTGGGTGACAAAAGGAATCCGAACTTCTAGTAAGGTAAAGCGGAAGCTTTACATAAATATGCGAAATAATCCTCAATCAAATTTCACTGATCACTTCAAGCGCTACAATAAAATATTTAAAAAAGTTATTGCACAAGCAAAAAAAATGCAAACTAAAAGAATTATAATGAATTCGAGAAACAAAATAAAATCCACGTGGCAAATTATAAATAAAAACCTAAATAAACAAACAAAAAAACTACATCTATTTCTTTAAACCAAAATGGCAAGGTTATTACTAATTCTGAACACGTTGCTAATATTTTCAATGACTATTTTGCTTCCGTTGCGCATGAATGTAGAAAAAACATACCTCCAACATACGAAACTACAAAAGTTATCCCATCATCACCAAATTCTTTCTATTTGCTGCCTGTCACAAAAACTGAATTGTTCAATATTGTAAATAATTTAAATAATACGTTAGCTTGCGGTCACGATGGTATTCCTATAAAAATATATAAAGAAGTGTTTGATGAAATATATCAACCTTTGATTTACTTAATTAACCTTTCTTTCTCTTCTGGGACTTTTCCAAGCCATGGTAAAATTGCAAAAATTAACCCACTTCACAAATCAAAATCTAAATCAGAACCACAAAATTATAGACCAATTTCGATCTTAAATTCCGTATCGAAAATACTAGAATCTCTCATAAAAGTTAGATTAATTGCCTTTTTGGAAACCCATAAATTGTTTAATAGTTCACAACATGGCTATAGAGTAAATAAATCAACTACCACAGCTTTACAAAGTATGTTACACTACATACGCACTGCGCATAATAATGGCAAGGTTGTAGCATCGATAAGTTGTGATTTGTCGAAGGCTTTCGATCTGGTTGATCATGACTTGTTACTGGACAAGCTATACTCATATGGCATTAGAGGCGTGACGCTAAATTTATTGAGATCCTTTATTAGTGATAGGTCACAATATGTTGCAGTTGAGCAAATTTCTTCCTCGGGACAAATTATTGAAGTTGCATCCGAATTAAAACCAATCAAGTATGGTGTACCCCAAGGATCTATCCTTGGTCCTATATTATTTATAATCTTTATTAATGACCTATTTAACTGCTTCGATCCATCTTCATGTGATATCACCACATATGCAGACGACACTAGTGTGAGTGTGGCTTGTGTTGAAGAAGAGTTAGAAATTAATTTAAAACGTGCGTTATCAACTCTTATTAATTGGTTTAATGCAAATAAACTTTTACTCAATTTGGAAAAAACAAAAATTCTTCTTTATAAGAAAAATATGGGTTTGGATATCGCTCCACTGCGTTACCAGTCAGTTCAATTAGAAAGGTGTCAATCCTGTACCTTCTTAGGAGTTATTATAGACACAGAACTTAGTTGGAAAGATCACATTGACCATCTGAGAGCAAAATTACATTCATCGATTTTCGCATTGTCCCGTTGTAAAAATTTATGTGACCATAAAACCCCTTTTGCAAATCTACTATTCAATATTTGAAAGTAAGGTGCGGTACGGTATCTCATTATGGGGAAATGCTACTAGTTATAGAATTGCTAGCATATTTAAGGTTCAAAAAAGAGCAATCAGGGTAATGTTTTCGCTACAGAAACGGGAATCCTGCAAACCGTATTTTAAAAACTTTCAGATTGCAACCGTCTATTCATTATATGTGCTTGAATGTTTATGTTTCGTGTTCAAAAACAAAAAATTATTTTCATTAAATTGTGATAACCACTCATATAATACGAGAACGAAAAATAACTTTTCTATAATGAGATCAAAAAGTAAGGTGCATAACTCGTCCTACCTACAGATGGGGGTGAGATTTTATAATGTCCTTCCGGCACATGTCAAATGTATTACAATGTTGGCTCCTTTTAAAAACCAAATTAGAAAAATTCTTCAATCAATGGTGCTATACACACTGGATGATTTCTTTACGAATATCAAAAATGCTAGTCATATTTAAAAAAAAAATATAATATATATAAATAAATTTTAATATATATACCTATTTACATTTCTTTTTTATAGATATATTTATATTATTTATTGTACTTTATTGTGTTTTTTATTTATGTTGTTATTGTGTGACAGTTACACCACATTCGTGGTTGAAATAAATGCTCTCTCTCTCTCTCTCATGTATCAAATTTCATTTAAATACTTTTATAAATAAAAAAGTTTGCAATTCGGTTTATAAATGGTCGAGATGCGAAAAGGGCATCTGTGAATTTTGAATCCATTCGACTCAACTTTTGGCATTGCGTATTATATGGCTGAAGCTATGCCCATATTGAAAATCATGCATCGGACATCGGAAAGCGATCGGACATTTCCAAACAAAGTTATCGTTCATACGGACAGATACAAGGGCAGACAGACAAAGGTACAGACGGACAGACCAACAGAGGGACGACAGACAGCAATGCAAAATTATAAACGATCTCTATAGGATCGTTAATAAACGGCAAAAGTGTAAAATTATGCAACATGTAAAAAACGGTTTGTTGGTTTTTTAACAATAACTTTTTTAGCAATAAACGCAGGAAAAATTCCTGCCTTGGCGGAAGCCTCGACACCATAACGAACCAAATAGCGAAAAAAGTAGAACAATAGCTCTTAAGATAAAGAACTAGTAGCGCCTTAATGAACGAGCGGACAAAGTGGCCACAATAGCGCATTTTTTTTTCATTTTTGTGGAAATGCACTAAAAATATAATATTAATTAACATGCTTTGTTGCAGTAGGTGGCCGTGATATAGGCGGCCATGCTTTTGACAGATGAGGTTTATATTGGTAAATTACAGTAAACCAGCAAACAAAGATATTCTTATGTAAAACATTTCTTGCAAGCATTTGCGTTAAACAATTTGAGAAAAACGAAATGCTTTGAAAAGTACAATTTATGTAAATACTACAAAGAGTTGAGTCAAGTGCAAATATGTCATCCAAAATTAATATATTTAATGAATTTAATGGAAGACCAGGAACCGTTAGAGGAATGGTTTGTTTATGAAAATCCAAGAAAGTCTGCTGCAGATGTCACGTAAATATGGTCTTTTGCGTAAAAGAGATTTGAACAAAATTGTTTCAAAATATTACATATATGTCTGAAAACACAGACATCTAATTAATTTGTCACCTTCCTATTCACAGAGTTTGTAGATCTTACGTTTTTTGAAATATAAATTGTTAATGGATAATAGTTAAAACAAATTTGTGTTTTCTGTTTAATGAAACTTTATAGCGAATAATAAATAATGTTAGGTAATTCTTATAGAAATTTTGCATTATTCACAGGTTGAGGTATATCTACATTATTTAATGGTTGTAGATCATTTGTTTGCCTTTTCAAATATCAAAAAATTTCCACTTAAATATAATGGCGCCACAAAAAAATTTCCGGAATTTTTTTTAGTTGCCATGGTAACTAGTCAAAATTAAGGCACCTTATTGGTTAAAAAGTAGAGGTGTGAAATTTTCTTCTTTACAATTTTCCTCCCTTAACATTTTTTCTTAAAATATTTAGTTTTTAAAGAAAAATTTCAAAAAAGGTAATTTTATCCGAATTAGGGGGTGGTTTTAGGGCGACAGGCTCAACGCCTCGGCGCTGGGGTTATAGAGGGTGTTTAGACCCTTATAACAAAGTACCTCGCCAAATTTCAGCTCGTCTCTAATTGGTTAAACGTTACCCATATAAAACAATGAACAGGCCATGCTAAAAAGTAAAAGTGCAATTGCACAAAAATAGATCGCAATCCAACACAAATTTATTTTTAAATTTGTACACGTAAGCGCAAAAGGAAGGGTGGATCAACAAGACGAAACATGTCCACGTAGTAATAATAGTTTATTGGTAAAAAGAATAAAAATCAACTTATTAAACCATACGTCTTAAAAGTTCATTAATTTTATCTTCTCTGTTACCAAAATCTCCCCCTTCAACGTAATGGTTTGTCTTCTTACGCCATCCGCCGGTCGGTGTGTTGAGCTAAAACGAAACATGTGACAACAAGACAACCTCGAGTACACCGAACCTACCTTAAATGGCCACAAGAACGACGACGCATACTTAAACTTAGGTCCAACAGTGAAAATCTCGTGTATTAAATCTTCCATACAAATAATATTACACCTTCCCAATCTCTCCTCGATAATTTTATTACTCGTGATCGGTATGCGTCTTCCTTGTATCTTGGCGTAGCCGCGTTTGTAGATTAACTCCCTAACCGATTTCAAATTGGGATAGCCCCACGTAATGTACGGTTCGCAGATACGCATCATGTTAATCGTCGCCTTGTTCAGCTTGATGAAGACGCCGTTGTTGATTTGCAACAAACGGAACAACTGTAGAACTTTGCGTACTTTCGGTGCGACTTTGTTGATACTGCAACGAGACGGTTAAGGAGGCGAAAATTAAACGGAGGTTAGTGTTCGAGTTTTGGAATTGACAATCGGCCATCGGGGCGCAATCATCACCAGTTGACTCGCGATAATTTTGGACAAAGTGGAACGGGCAAAGCCACAGGGGCGGTGCCCAATCGAATTTTGTCCCGAAAATCTGGTTGGACTTACCCCCTGATACGAATAACGAACGCTAACTTAGCGTCACCGGGGACGTAGTAATTTCCGCGTAGCTTGGCCTCACGTCTCAGCCTAACTTCGTCGCGTTCCTTCAGCCTGTATTCCTTGACGTAGGACTCCGCTCGCTTGAAGATCCGCTTTGTCTTCTTGAGGATCTTCGAGCGTTTGCTCAACGCCGACTTCAGGCGCGCTACCTTATTCTGCACCCGCTTCTTTCGGTGCTTCAACACCGATTCGGGCACGACGGGAAGCCCCTTCACTTTGCGCCCCCCAGTCTTCTCCTTTTTCTCTGCAGCTTTCTCCCTAAAAGCACACAACTAACCTCAATCGACATGTTTACAAATGTTGAGCGAATTTTGATTGTGCACGACAAAAATACGTGCGAACGATAAACGGTTGAAATTGCTAAAACCTAAAATTAGCGGATTTATTAGTCGTTAGCAATAAATTTAGTCGGATGATTGAAGATTTTGCAAAAATTTGATCAACTACTTACACCGTAGGAGCCATGATTGTATTGGTAAAGAAGGAAATTTGCAAGGGGTGCCAACAGAATACTAACAAAATTACTGTTTGAAATTTTAATCTGCCAGAAGCGCTGTTGCCAAAGTTATCTCGTATACAGTGTGTTCCAGATCTTGAATTGCTAGTTTGACGGAGTATTTTAAAATAAAGAGTTTGCAGTACATAATTTTACTATACCTCAGTCGTAAATAAAACGGATACTGGGAAATAAGCCAGCTAGCCGAAAAGAGGTTTCGAACCCAGCTGTCCGCTGAAAAGACAAAGATCTAAATGCCTTTTTTAATATGGCAAAAACGAGGATTAACAGAATTGAAGGTCGTATGTTATCCACAAATTCAAAACAAATGGGTTAACAGCGCCGTTAAGCTTTGATAAACCTTTGTGCATTCGGCCCAAAGTGTACTAAACGTAAACAAAGGTGGTTTATTTATTTCAAAAATGTGACGCAAGGGGTTGCAAGAAATTATTTTTGCATTTGTTTATTGGGTATGTATAGCAGTATTTTTCTGCACAAACTAGAAAGTGATAACTACCCGCGTTTTGCCGTATTCGATTTATAAACACATTGGGGGTGGATTTCTATGTGACGCAAGGGGTTGCAAGAAATTATTTTTGCATTTGTTTATTGGATATGTATAGCAGTATTTTTCTGCACAAACTAGAAAGTGATAACTACCCGCGTTTTGCCGTATTCGATTTATAAACACATTGGGGGTGGATTTCTATGTGACGCAAGGGGTTGCAAGAAATTATTTTTGCATTTGTTTATTGGATATGTATAGCAGTATTTTTCTGCACAAACTAGAAAGTGATAACTACCCGCGTTTTGCCGTATTCGATTTATAAACACATTGGGGGTGGATTTCTATGTGACGCAAGGGGTTGCAAGAAATTATTTTTGCATTTGTTTATTGGATATGTATAGCAGTATTTTTCTGCACAAACTAGAAAGTGATAACTACCCCGTTTTGCCGTATTCGATTTATAAACACATTGGGGGTGGATTTCTATGTGACGCAAGGGGTTGCAAGAAATTATTTTTGCATTTGTTTATTGGACATGTATAGCAGTATTTTTCTGCACAAACTAGAAAGTGATGTGAGCTATGTAGGTACTAATTCTTGCATTGTGAAAGAAGCTTTCAAGATAGAGAAGGAAAGAGATACACGCCACGCATGCTGCGTGCCAAATATTGCAATATCACACATGTTTCAAGATATTAGAAAAATAGACGATATTGCAATAACCTACAGCGATATTTTAGATTGAATCATGTCTACAACGGATGAGATCAATATGCTCACTAAAGTGGAGCCAAAAGAAGAAGAAGAAATCCATGCATTTTTGGATGACATGATGTGTGTGACCAGCACCAATCCAATGGTGGTACAGGAAAGTAACTTTGGGACCGAAATTGGTAACAATCGAGTCTCCAAGGAGTATCGTTGTTTCCATTGTAATTATGTGGCAAAAAAAAGGTATTATCTGAAGAACCATCTTTTAAAACACGGCGCTGCTAAGGATTTTAAATGTGATCAGTGCGATTTTGCAACATGTAGAAAGTACTCGCTGAAGACGCATCTGTTAATACATGACAATAGCAAACAGTTTAAATGTGAACAGTGCAATTATGTAACAAATGTTAAGCTCAATTTAAAACAACACGTTTTAAGGCACAATACTTTAAGGCAATTTACATGTGACCAGTGCAATTATGCAACTCATAGCCACAACGACTTAAAGGCGCATCTTGTAAGACACAGCAAGTCTAAACATTTTAAGTGTAGTGAGTGCAATTACGTTACAAACAGAAAGGGATATTTGAAAATTCATTTCAAAAAGCACAGTACTTTTAAGCATTTGAAGTGTGAACATTGTAATTACACAACGAATCTAAAGAGCTATCTCAAGCAGCACCTTCTAACACACCGCACTTTTGGAGATTTTAAATGTGAGCAGTGCAATTATGTTACATATAACAAGTTACTTTTCAAGTCGCATTGTATAAAACACAGCACCGTCTACGATTTTAAATGTGACCAGTGTGATTATGTAACGAAGAGAAGGGAATATTTGAACAAACACCGTTTAAGACACAACAACACTTCAAAGGATATCAAGTGTGATCAATGCGATTTTGTTACATTTACAAAGGAATGTCTACAAAAACACCGTTTAAGGCACAGCACTTCTAAGACTTTCAAGTGTGAGCACTGCAGCTATGAAACTTGCAGAGGGGTGCATTTTAAAAATCATCTCTTGACACACGCTCCCAAAGACTTCAAGTGTGACCAGTGCGCTTACGCAACTTTTAGAAAGGATTATTTAAAGCTGCACCTGTTGCAAAAACACAGCGCATCCAAAAAGTTTACGTGTGATCAGTGCAGTTACGCCACAAACTTGCAGAATCTTCTCAGAAGTCACGTTTTAACACATCACACTTCTAAAAACCTCAAATGTGATAAGTGCGATTATGTAACGTGCATCGCTGGGAGTCTGAGGTCACATCTTTTATCACACAACATTTCCAAAGATTTCAAATGTGACCGATGTGAGTACGTGACAAACAGAAAAGGAGCCTTGAGAAACCACCTTCGGACTCACAGCGTCTCCAAAGATATTAAATGTGACCAGTGCAGTTACGTGACCCATACGAAAAGTTTGTTAAAAATTCATCTCGAGAGGCACAGTACGTCTAAGAATTTAAAGTGTGCACATTGCGCATACGCAACGAGCGTGCTCAATGACCTCAGGCAACATCTTCTGATACATAGGGCGCCTAATTTAAAATGTGATCAGTGCGATTACGCGACAAGTGTAAAGAATCATCTTAAGAAACATATGCAGAAACATAAGCACTTCTAAAGAGTTCAAGTGTAAACGGTACAAATTTGCAACAAATACAAAGCGGAGCCTGAAGCTGCATATTGGAAATGCACTTTTGAAACACAGCACCTATTCATTGACGCATGCGCATGTTATTATAGTTATTAGTTTTTCATTTATTAATTAATAGACGACCAGGGGGAATTTCATTATCTAATTGTATAATTTTAAGATGGTCATAAAAAAAAACAAAGCATGTGTTTTCTTAGGTAGGTCTAAGATTGTTTATTTTACTTTTTTTGACAAACTCACTTTATTAAAAGAGTACATATACAGGCAATTTTTTGTAAATGTATACATATGGACTATGTATATACTTACAAATGAAGTGACACTTCTTTAGGCCCCGTAGGTGGCAGCGGTCACGGTCACGAAAATAGTGACACGCTCGAAGGGGAATGAGTGGGGTGAGTATGGGGAGGCGATTCAATGTGGAATTACGTCACAAATTTGGACCGTTGAGTAGGCGTGTTACTTGTTAACCAGAGTTGAACTGGGTCGCTGGGTCACGTCATACTCTTTTCAGTTAGACCCAGTTTGACCCAGCGACGCAATTTCACCCGGGGACCCAATTCGACCCAGTCACCTAGTTTGATTGAATAACGCAGTTAAGTCAGTGCCCTCTGTTCAAGTGTACAGATTATGCAATAAATGAAATGCTGGTTTGTTGAAAATAATACTCGATTGCTTGACAACTGCCATTTCTGTGATGTTTGCTTTAATACTGCCGTAAAAAAACTTTCCATGTCCCGAATTGTATTAGAATAATGTTATTTCTTTGCTTCAGGGCTTACCAGTTTGCTTACAGGTGTTCATTCACATTTAATATTTTTCTACTAGTTAGCTTAATCCAAATAAATCTTTTCTCTAAATACTTTCATTGACTACTTGACTACAAACTATAAACAAATGCATTTGATTTTTTTAGGTATTAGTTCTCTTGAATGAAATTGGGCTACGTGCTTGTTGCCGAATATTATTGAGGAAGTTTTTTTTTAAATTGAAACTTGACTTGAAATTGTTTTGGATGATACCTAACAATAATTTAATTACTGGGCTACCGGGTCAGGACGGGTCACTGAGTAAAGGTGGGTCAGGATGGGTCACTGGGTCAAGCTGGGTCACCGGGTCAAGCTGGGTCACCGGGTCAAACTGGGTCACCGGGTCAACTGGGTCAGTAAACTAACTGGGTCACTCTATGCTTGACCCAGTCCAACTCTGTTGTTAACCTTTATCCTGCATGTTTATTATTAAATTAGAATTTAATATGTTGAATATTGACAACGGTTTTAATTGCACCTCTTAAGGTGAGTTATTTACGATGAATATTTAATATATGCCGATGATTACAAAATGGCGGACACTTTTATATGTTAAAAAAGGTTAAATTTCACCGATTATTAACAAACGTTATAGAGGGGGTGGGGCGGCTCCTATATAAAGGCAGTGTGCACGTCTAGGATGCGCGGCAGTCTACTAGGCGATCCGGAAATCTGAGAAAAACGCACGGGGTGTCATTCGTCTCGTGGTATTGAATAGATAGATTCCGTTATCCTCCCCCCCCCCCCAAACCACTTACATATGCTAGAGAATTATTGTTTTCGGGGTCTTTTATTTTTTCGCAGCAAAATTATGCCAAAGACCAGTACAGAACGTGTACGAGCATTTCGAGAGAGACAGCGAGCCCACAATTTAATGAAGAAATCTAAAAAAACTTCACCAAGAAACCCGCAAAAACTGCATTGGAACGTAAAAGAGAGTCGCGCGCGAGACAAAAATTACCTGCAAACGTATCCCAGGCATTACCACCAAGAATCATGTCTGCAACAGATGAGGTAAATATACCGATTAAGGTGGAGCCAAAAGAAGAAGAAGAAATCCATGCATCTTTGAATGACATGATTTGTGTAAATAACACCCATCCATCAGTGGTATACGTAGAGGAAGGAAACATTAAAGCTGGAATTGGTAACATTCGAGGCTCCAATAGGGAGTATTTTCCGGGTCGATGTGAGACAATTTTTTTTTTCGGGGCACAAAAAAAGGCAGTGTATAACCTTCCTTTTTTACCAAAAATCGACTACACCAAAATTTCTCGGGAAAACACTTTTTCTTATTAATTTTGGTGCGTAGAATCCAAAACAATTCGTACTTTTTCGATCAGACTTCTCAATCAAAAGTTATAGACTAGAAACCAATTTCGAAAAAAAATTCAAAGGGCTGTAACTTTTGAACTAGTAGCCCAATCTTGGAACTGTTTGAAATTATGGATTCTACAGGCCACATTCTATAAGAAAATTTTTTTTCCGGGTCGATCTGAGACAATTTTTTTTTCGGGGCTCAAAAAAAGGCAGTGTATAACCTTCCTTTTTTACCAAAAATCGACTACACCAAAATTTCTCGGGAAAACACTTTTTCTTATTAATTTGGGTGCGTAGAATCCAAAACAATTCGTACTTTTTCGATCAGACTTCTCAATCAAAAGTTATAGACTAGAAACCAATTTCGAAAAAAAATTCAAAGGGCTGTAACTTTTGAACTAGTAGCCCAATCTTGGAACTGTTTGAAATTATGGATTCTACAGGCCACATTCTATAAGAAAATTTTTTTCCGGGTCGATCTGAGACAATTTTTTTTTCGGGGCTCAAAAAAAAGGCAGTGTATAACCTTCTTTTTTACCAAAAATCGACTACACCAAAATTTCTCGGGAAAACACTTTTTCTTATTAATTTGGGTGCGTAGAATCCAAATCAATTCGTACTTTTTCGATCAGACTTCTCAATCAAAAGTTATAGACTAGAAACCAATTTCGAAAAAAAATTCAAAGGGCTGTAACTTTTGAACTAGTAGCCCAATCTTGGAACTGTTTGAAATTATGGATTCTACAGGCCACATTCTATAAGAAAATTTTTTTCCGGGTCGATCTGAGACAATTTTTTTTCGGGGCTCAAAAAAAGGCAGTGTATAACCTTCCTTTTTTTACCAAAAAATCGACTACACCAAAATTTCTCGGGAAAACACTTTTCTTATTAATTTTGGTGCGTAGAATCCAAATCAATTCGTACTTTTTCGATCAGACTTCTCAATCAAAAGTTATAGACTAGAAACCAATTTCGAAAAAAAAAATTCAAAGGGCTGTAACTTTTGAACTAGTAGCCCAATCTTGGAACTGTTTGAAATTATGGATTCTACAGGCCACATTCTATAAGAAAATTTTTTTTCCGGGTCGATCTGAAACAATTTTTCTTTCGGGGCTCAAAAACAGGGAGTGTAACCTTCTTTTTTTTACCAAAAATCGACTACACCAAAATTTCTCGGGAAAACACTTTTTCTTATTAATTTGGGTGCGTGGAATCCAAAACCATTCGTACTTTTTCGATCAGACCTCTCAATCAAAAGTTATGGACCAAATAAAAATTTCAACTATATATAATTAAAGAAAAAATAAATAAATATGTAATAAAAAAAGGTTGTCCAAAAGTTGATCCGTGGACATACTGTATATGCGCATGCCCCTCGTGACCACCGTCAAGTTACTCTCTGTAGCAGTATTTTTACAACTGTCAAACCCAGAGAGTAGTCAAAAATCAACTTCATTGCATATTGCTACAAGATATTAGTACAGATTTAAATATACTATTTAAATCTGTGATATTAGAAAAGTAAGTCCGTACTATTTCAGACGATATTGCAATAACCTGCAGCGATATTTTTAGATTGAATCATGTCGTCGACGGTTGGGGAGGGGGAGCTCATTAAGGTGGAGCCAAAAGAAGAAGAAGAGATCCATACATTTATGGATGAAATGGTTTGCGTAAATAGCACCAATCCATTGTTGGTACAGGAAGGCAACATTGGGACCGAAATCGGCTCCAATAAGGCGTATTTTTGTTTCCATTGTAATTACGCAACAACAACAAAGAGTTATCTGAAGAAACATGTTACAAGGCATAGCGCTTCTAAAAATTTTAAATGTGACCAGTGCGATTACACAGCATGTAGAAAGGCCTACTTGAAGGCGCATGTGTTAATACACGATAAAAGCACACCGTTTAAATGTGAACAGTGCGATTATGTAACGAATGGAAAGTATTATTTCAAACAACACCTTTTATCACACAATGCTTCAAAACAGTTTACATGTGACCAGTGCAATTACGCAACACACAACAAGAACAACTTAAAAGCACATCTCGTAAGACACAGCAGTTCTAAAAATTTTAAGTGTAACGAGTGCAATTATGTCACAAACAGAGAGGGATATTTAAAAATTCATCTTAAAACGCATAGCACGTCTAAGCACTTGAAATGTGCGAATTGCAATTACACAACGAATCAAAAGAACTATCTCAAACAGCACCTTTTAACACACCGCACTGACGGAGAATTTAAATGTGAACAGTGCAATTATTCTACATGTAAAAAGTCACTTTTCAACTTGCACCTTTTAAAACACAGCACCGTTTACAATTTTAAATGTGACCAGTGTGATTATGTCACGAAGAGAAGGACGCTTTTAAACAGGCATCTTTTAAAACACAACACTTCGAAAGATATCAAGTGTGATCAATGCGATTTTGTTACATTTACAAAGGAATGTCTACAAAAACACCGTTTAAGGCACAGCACTTCTAAGACTTTCAAGTGTGAGCACTGCAACTATGAAACTTGTAGAGGGGTGCACTTTAGAAAACACCTCTTGGTGCACACTTCCAAGGACTTTAAGTGTGACCAGTGCGCCTATGCGACTACTACAAGTGAATATTTAAAGATTCACCTGTTGCAAAAACACAGTGCATCCAAAAAGTTTAAATGTGATCAGTGCAGTTACGGTACAAATTTGCAGAATCTTTTCAGCAGACACCTTTTAACACACAATAGTAAAAACCTCAAGTGTGACAAGTGCGATTACGTAACGAGTATAGCTGGGAGTCTTAGGGTACATCTTATAACGCACAACATTTCCAAAGACTTCAAATGCGACCGGTGCGAGTACGTGACACACAGAAAAGGAGCCTTGAGAACCCACCTTTTGACCCACGGCGCCTCCAAAGATATTAAGTGTGACCAGTGCAGTTACGTGACCCATACGAAAAGGTTGTTAAAAGCACATCTTCAGGTGCACAGCACGTCTAAGAACTTCAAGTGTGAACATTGCGATTACGCAACTAACGTGCACAATAACCTCAGACAACATCTTCTAATACACAGGGCGTCCAATTTAAAATGTGATCGGTGCGATTACGCGACAAGTGTAAAGACTCATCTAAAGTCACACATGCTGAAACATAGCACTTCTAAAGAGTTTAAATGTAAACATTGTAAATATGCGACGAATAGAAAGCAGACCTTGAAGGGACATATGAAACGGCACTCTTAAAACATTGTACTTAGCATAATGTAAATTAATGTAGAATGATTAAGTGTAAGATCACCCTGTATATAAAAAACTATGCATTAAAATAACTACCAGATGATCATAAATGATTGATGACACCTTGATTCAAGGTCAAGGTGGTAAGAGGGCCAACGCAAAAGGTTTTTTTCAGACAAAGCGATAGTCCAAAAGTCGAAAAATTTTGGATTTTTCTTTTCCAGAGTCGTTTTCACTCCTTTCCCCTAGGCAAGCAAAGAAACAACCTAGAAAGCTATGGAAATGCTCAGCGAAAGCGAAAAAAATGCACTAGAGGGGTATCATAAAATTTTAGAGATTCTGGAAAGCGTTTCCAGGACTCTCCAATGTTGTACTGCTTCTAATTATACAGGGTGTTCCCCTACAAACACTGCACTCTTTGATGCTAAGCAAATAATATCTACTTAGTCTTCTATAGGTAATATACTATTATTTTCAAATATTAACAACATTACAAACTAACAATCTTCTATTGAACTTGAACTAAGGCAACAAAGTATATACATACTCAAAGTAAGTGTTTCAATGTGTTGTGTGTGGCGAGATGCTTCCTTAAGGTTCGTTTATAATTTGTGGTAAAACTACAATGACAACAAAAGAACTTTTTGAAAGCCTTGTGAGTTAAAAAGTGAACCTTCAAGTAATCCTTATTGTTTGTAGCGTAATCGCATTGGTCACATTTAAGGTCTTTTGAAGTGGAATGGAGGTTTAAGCAATGAATCTTTAAGTTCCCCTTCCACTTTGTTGCATAATTGCACTGGCCACAATGAAACTGTTTGGAACTGTTGTGTGTTAAAAGATGACGCTTTAAAATATATTGATTGTGTGCGGCATAGTCGCACTGATTACAAATGAAATCTTTGGAAATTTTGTGTGTTAGAAAGTGAATCTTTAAGTTGCCGTTAGTATTCGTTGCGTAATTACACAGGTCACACTTAAAGGCTTTGGAAATAGTGGTCGAGGTGGTGGTGTGCGTTAAAAAATGACGCTCCAGGTTCCTCTTGTAATTTGTGGAGTAATTACACCGGTCACAATTAAAATCTTTAAGAACTTTGTGAGTTAAAAAGTGAGCCTTTAAGTGTATCTTATTGTTTGTAGCATAACTGCACTGATCACACTTAAAGTCCTTGGAAGTGGAGGCGTGTTGAAGAAGATGATTCTTAAAGCTCTCCTTCCATTTCGTTGCAAAATTGCACTGGCCACACTGAAACTGTTTAAAAACGAAAACGGTGTGCCTTAAAAGATGACACTTTAAAGCAGATCGAATATGCGTGGCGTAATTACACTGGTCACACTTCAGGCTTTTTTCTCGTTTTTTGGTGTCGAGGTGTGTTAAAAGGTGCTTTTTCAAGTTCTCCTTCCATTTTGTTGCAAAATTACACTGGTCACATTGAAATCGTTTGGAATTACTGTGACTTACAAGATGACGCTTTAACGAAGACTTAAAATGCGCGGTATAATTACACTGATCACAAATAAAATTTTTAGAAACAGTGTGTTTCTTTTCAACTGCAGGAAGATAACGCGCAACTTCATCTTCTTTCAGTGATACGTTTGTCACCGGATTTGCACAGGTCACATTGTATTCCTGCTTTATTGAAGCAGATGTTTCGTTCTCGAAATCCATTTTCTCCATGAACGCTTTGATTTCCTCTTCATTTTCAGTTTTGACAATCGCAACGATATCTTGGGTGGTCATGACTGAGCAATGGAATACTTGATTTCTTCCTATTTATTATTTATATAAACAAATGCACTAACAAAATATGACGGGAGCACAGTTCAGTTCACTTTGGGCAGGGCTTGCATCTTTTTAGGTGCCCCTTCCCCCAAAAGGTTGATGCACCCATGTTCATAAAGTAGGTAACTGAGTTACCGAAGTACCCAACTACACGCTGGCGGTCCGTGTACCATTCTTGACTGACACGATTTATACAGGGTGTAACATACACGTATATTAAACAATTGATGGGTGATAGAGGGGCATTAAAACTGATGTTTTGCAAATAAACCAAGAGTCTAAAATGTCTCACTTGCTTTTCTTCCTCATTTTTTCCACCAACATAGAAGAATGTCGCTGATGATTCGCCTAAGATTTCGGGTGTGCCCTTTTTATCATTCTATACATGGAAAGTTCTAACAGGACAAGAAAAGTACTGGTTCTGACGGCATATAAAGGCCGTATTAGACGATGCAATTTTTATTGCAATCCTTGCAGCAACTATTGCTGCTATTATTGCAGCAATTATTGCAAAAAGATGCAATGATTACACTATGCAATTTAATTGGCAATGTTTTTATACCCAATTCTAATCATGTATTGGTGCCAATGAAAGTAGAATTGGCATCACTGGGAAATACTTGAAAGCAACTTCACGTCTGTTGTAGACCAGGAAACGTGTGTTTTGTGACGATTCCTTTGTTGAAGGCCGTGCAATTTATTATTTATATTTGCACGCACTTATTCACACTCAGGTTCGTTAAATTCATTGAGCCTGGTCCAAAAACGTCGTCGTCTTCTTTGTTTCTTTTTTTTAAAGAGCAACAGCAGACGCAATAACTAAAGATGCGGCAGCAATATCCATTTTTGAATTCCTCGTAAATAGGTTATTTCAGTTTTAACTTTAAATAACAAACCTGTATATAGCATAAGGGGGTAATGTTCTCCAGTGCATACCACTTTATTTTTTTTATAAATTAAATGTTACTAAAATATTTACCAAATTGCAAGAAAAATTGCAAGAAAAATAGCACAAGTTCTATAACCAGAAAATTGCAGAATGTCTTGCTGCAATATTTGGCGCAAGAAATTGCACGTGCAATTTTAACATACACGGAGCAATTTTTCGTGCAATTTTCTTGCGGCAATGAATTGCTGCAAAAATTGCAATAAAAATTGCATCGTCTAATACGGCCTTAAGAGTCCAGAAAGCATTGGACAAAGCCTGGGTTTTCAATAAAAAAACACATTTACTGAAAGTTTCAAGTAGGTAGATTGGCGAGATTATATGAGCAACTCAAGAGGACCAGAAGAAGAAATCAACAATACTTGATGAAGATGAGAGTAAGATTTTAAGAAGATTTGAAGAACACCATGGAATGTGACGAGCAGATTGTCCATTTAGAACAAATTTAACACGACCGCCAAAAAACAAGGAAATGCAGAATAATAATAATAAATGGAGATATATTATGAAGGCACGATGATGGTTTAACGAATGGGCGAAGAAGGCGTGTAAGAGGGTGTGGGGGGGGGGGGTAGAAGGATACTGGACAGTTTAAAAATAACTTTTTTTTATTTTAAAGCAACGAGGTTTCGAGAAAATGTACTCAAAATTTAAGGAACATCGGAGAAGAACAATTCAAGATGACTCAAAAAATACATAAAGAAGAAAGAAGAAGATAAAGATAAATAATGAATTTTTCGAGAAGAAAGAAAAAAAAAGAGATGTAGGTGAAGAAAACCTGAAAAAGTCGCGAAGAAAATATATGACGAAGACGTGAAAGAAACATAAGCGAGGGCATGAACGAGACGTGAGTGACACAAGCATGTCTTGGGGGGCACACGTCGGTCTTTTTGTTCACTAATCAATTGAAGGGAAACGTTCGAGGATACAGTATAAAATAAAACCCATCGATACGCCACTGGCATGTGACGCTAATGAGGCTGAAATGAACCAATCAGAGCTATGGTAGGCATTGAACTAAAAAATTGCATCTAAAGCTGAATTTGCCGTTTGGGGTTATTCAATATTCAATACTAGAGCAATAAATAGACTGTGACGGGTAACAAATATCCCAAACTTTATTTACACACATTTAAACACGTTATTGATGGTAGATATGGATGGAAATGATGTGGTACCATTCATTAAGATCGAACCAAAACAAGAAGAAGAAATCGATTCCAATCTTCAAGGAAGCACTTTAGTAACCAATGAAGCATTGGTTAAAATAAAGGACGAAATTATCATTGCTGCCCATTGCTCCAAATTACTCGATAATGAAGAATTACAACAACAAACTGATTCTGGATGGAACATTGAAAATAAAATTGCCAATGATTTTGAAGGTGATTTATCAAAGCATAATGCTCATTATGATTTTGGAACAACTCAAACTCAAACATGCAAAATGCTACGATGTGCTTATTGTGATTACAAGACAAATAGCATGTTAGATATTAAGCAACACTTTTTAACTCATACAGTTACTGCAGACTTTAAATGTGCCAATTGTGATTATGAGACAAATAACAAACACCACTTTAAACGACACCTTTTAAAATATGAGGTTTCTAAACATTTTAAATGTGCCAATTGTGATTACAAGACAAGTAACAAATCCAACTTTAAACGACACCTTTTAACACATACCAATTCTAAAGAATTTAAATGTGCTCATTGCGATTACGGGACAAATTACAAAGCCAGCTTTAACCAACACCTTTTAGATCATACTGATTCTAAAAATTTGAAATGTGCTAATTGTGATTATGGGACGAATAACAATTCCAGCTTTAAACAACACCTTTTGACACATAGCGATTCCAAAGATTTTAAATGTGCTCATTGTGATTATGGAACAAACAATAAAAAATGTCTTAAAGGTCACATTTTAAGACACAAACTTTCTTGTGATGTGCTAAAATGTGCTAATTGTGATTACGAGACAAGTAACAAATATCACTTTAAACAACACCTTGTAAATCATACCGATTCTAAACTTTTTAAATGTGCTAAATGTAATTTCGAGACTAATTACAAAGCGAACTTCAAACAACACGTTTTAAAACATACTGATTCCAAAGCTTTTAAATGTGCTAATTGTGATTACAAGACAAATAACAAATACCACTTTAAACGACACCTTTTAAATCATACCGATTCTAAAGATTTTAAATGTGGTAATTGTGAGTACGAAACAAATCACAAATACTACTTTAAACAACACCTTTTAAATCATACTGATTCCAAAGATTTTAAATGTGCTAATTGCGACTACGAGACAAACGACAAACACAACTTTAATCTACACCTTTTAATACACACGAATTTTAAATACTTTAAATGTCCTATTTGTGATTACGAGACACTTTACAAATCCAGCTTTAAACAACATCTTTTAAATCATTCCGATTCTAAAGCTTTTAAGTGTGTTAATTGTGATTATGTAACAAATTATAGAACGAACTTTAAACGACACCTTTTAAAACATACCGGCTCTAAAGATTTTAAATGTGCCAAATGTAACTACGAGACATGTAACAAATACCACTTTAAACAACACCTTTTAAATCATTCCGATTCTAAAGATTTTAAATGTTCTCATTGCAATTATGGAACAAATAATAAAAAATGTTTTGATGAACACATTGTGAAACACAACGGTTCTAATAATCTGCTAAAATGCGCTAATTGTCAATATGAGACAAATAACAAAAAGAACTTTAAACGACATCTTTTAAATCATACTGAATTTAAAGATTTTAAATGTGCTAATTGTAATTACGAGACAAATTGCAAATCCACCTTAAAAAAACATCTTTTAAAGCATATTGATTCTAAAGATTTCAAATGTGCTAAATGTTATTACGCGACTAATTACAAAATGAACTTTAAACGACACCTGTTAAGACATAAAGATACTACAGATTTTAAATGTGCTTAGTGTGATTATGGAACAAATGATAAACGATGTCGTATTGAAAAGTTTTTTTAGTTCGTTAAGATTTTTTTAGGATCAGATTTTGTTTCTTTTTATATAATTATGGACGACGCCTGTTAAAACATGAAATTTCTAAAGATTTTAAATGTGCTCATTGCCGTTATGAGACAGATAACAGTTTCTCTATTAAACGCCATCTACTTCAAGTAAAAATTGAATTATATAGTCTGTAGTCCTAGCTTTTTTTATCTATTGTAAGATTGGTTGACATTTACTTACTTGTGGAGATTGCAATAAAATCAATAAATATCTATACAGGATGCCCATAATGTATGGAATATACGAGTAGTATATATCTCGGTAAATATGGAATGTATACAAAATTGTTCTATACGAAAGTTGTTTAATATTTTATTTCCCATAAAAGGCAGCATTCAGTTGTTTTTATTTCAGAAAACAATTGAATTTTTTTAAATGGCAATGTACTTTTCATTAGGTTCATTTGATAGAGATTTTTTCGATTACATAGCCTTTTAGTACCCTTTATTCAAGAACAGTTTTCATCAAACTAACTAACACACATCAATCACGTTAATCTAGATATCCTACATCAAAACAAAACAAATGAACGTATACGTTTTGGCAGTGGCATATCCTATCGCAAAAAGCTTGAAATAAAATTAATTTATTCTACGACGGTGCTAACGTGTTCAGGCCCGTAGCCAGAATGACGTAGCAGGGATGGCCTTTTTTTTCTAGGTGGGGCTTAAGAAATGTTTGATAAAGGCTTCTCCTGTAATTTTTGTAAAGGAACCTTTCCAGTGGGGACAAGAGCACATTCTAGGTGGGGCTAGCCCCACCTGGCCACCCCCTAGCTACGGGCCTGAACGTGTTACGTCATTGAAATTTCATGCTATCATTCATTGCTATTTCAAAAAAATCAATTGTTTTTCGTCATTCATTTGTTTTCTGACATAAAAACGATAGAATGGAACTACCAAGTTTTTTTATCGCATCAAATGTAGGATTTTATTACCTTTTTAACAATATAAGCATGTTGCTATTTATCTTTTACATATTTTTTGTAATTCCACAATTTCTAATAATTCACAGTGTCTTTCGATTTCCAAAGCCTCTCAGTAATTAATAGAGGCCGTTATAAATTATAAATAATTGAATTTATAAAAAATTTACTCTAAATAAAATAAAACAAAAACTTAAAAAAATCAAAATAGAAAGTTTAAATAAAAATAAGAGAAAAATAATTATCTCAATAAATGTTCAAGACCACACCTCCCAGGAAATTGTTGATTCAGCCATTTTTTAACGTTTATAGCAAAATGAGGTAGGACACCATCGTGCTGAAATAACATTTCTAATTTAAATTAATTTTAGCTGTTCAGCGTATGTTAGTACATTTCATGATTAGTGTCCCTGCAATGTCACGACCTTCTGCGTTATTCAATTTTTACTGGACATCTACTTTTTGAAAAAGGACGAATTGAGGCTAAACTACTCATTTTAGATATCATGTGTAATACATAAAGTCACACTAAAATTGACCAAGGAATCGAAATATGTAATAATATACAGGGGGTTCCATTTAAAAAAAATCCCCAGGGCACAAATGCTGATAAAGGCCCCAGTCTGAAAGAAAGGAGAGGGGAAAGCTCCTGGAAGACTCTTTGGCGCTCTTTTAAAAGACCATTCAAAACCTTATAATACTCATAGGCGTGCCCTTAAAGGTTTTGGTGAAATCACTTCAATTGTTTATTGTGACCCAGAAAGGCTCTTAAAAACCCATAAAATTCGCAGAAGGCGCAAAGGAGACATACTTGTTTTAGTGCCCTCTACCGTCCAACAATTGTTTAACACACGTATATGATACACCCTGTATAAGACGCGTCAGTTATCTTGTTTTGCTAGAGTGAACTAAAGAAGAAGAAACCGAGGATTTCAGTGCCCAGTCCACAGAGCAGGCCCAGTCATGGCCAACCAGGACATCATTGCGATTGTGAAGATTGAACGTGAAGAGGAAATCAACGCCTCCTTGGAGAAAGTCGATTTTGTAAACGAGACATCCGCTTCAATAAAGCAGGAATACGATGTGACCTGTGCAAATCCGGTGACACACATATCAATGAAAGAAGAACAGCGTTGTAAGGATGAAGTTGCACAGTATTTTCCGGTAGTCGAAAAGAAGTACAAATGTGTCCAGTGTGGTTACGCAACACATTTGAAGAACAGATTCAAAACTCACGAATTAACCCACAACACCACCAAAGATTTTGCGTGTGATCAGTGTAATTATGCCACGCATACTCAGTTTTGTTTGAGGCGTCATCTCTCGACAGTACACGAAAATTCCGAAATCTTTCGTTGTGAACAGTGCAATTTTTCAACGAAATGGAAGAAGAGCTTCAAGAGCCATTGTCTGACGCACACCACATTCAGACCGTTCAAATGTGACCACTGCGATTATGCGACGCATAATAAGGGCAACCTAAAAATGCACGGTTTGTCGGCCCACATAGCTTCCAAAGATTTTGTTTGCGACGAGTGTAATTACTCCACACATAAACACTATAATTTCAAGCGTCATCTTTTAGCGCATAACAATTACAAACACTTTCAATGTGACCGATGCAATTTTGCAACCAAATGGAAGGAGAGCTTTAAGTATCATCTTCTTCAGCACACCACCGCTTCCAAAGACTTTAATTGTGATCAGTGCAATTACGCAACAAACTGGAAGAGCAACTTGAAAAACCATCTTTTAACACACCTCGCTACCAAAAATTTGAATTGTGACCAGTGTAATTACGTCACACGTAACCGATCTTCTTTAAAATGTCATCTTTTAACACACACCACTTCAAACGCCTTTAAATGTGACCAGTGCGTTTACGCAACGAATAACAAGTACAGCTTCAAGATTCATTCTTTGTGCCATAGCACTTCCAAAGATTTCGCTTGCGATCAGTGTAACTACGCCACGCATAATCCATTTTATTTAAAGCGTCATCTTTTCGTAACGCATAACACTTTCAAACAGTTTCGGTGTGCTCAATGCAATTTTGCAACCAAATGGAAGGTGAGCTTAAAAACTCACTTGTTAACACACGCTAAAAATAACAATAAGGCTCAGTTTTTAACTCGCAAACGTTTGGAAAATTTCATTTGTGATCAGTGTAATTATACCACAAATTGGAAGGGGAACTTCAAGAATCATCTTTTAACACACGCCACCTCTAAACAAGTTTAGTGTATTTTATGGAGACTGTTTTCAATGTTATTATTAAAGAGGAGCAAAAAGAAGAACAAATCTAAGCAGTCTCCAAGGAGTAGGTATCTTCGTTTCCATTGCATTATCTAAAGAACACGCAGTGCTTTTAAAGATTTTAAATGTGGTCAGTGGGATTATGTGACAAGTTAATACAAGGCACTTAAAGGTGCATTCATTGAAGCATGTGCTTAGCATAATGTAAATTATTATTATAGTTATTCGTTTTTGTATGGTGAAGGGAGTTTGCACAGCACACTCTCGGTATATTATATCTGAATTAAGTATGTTTACATAGTATCTGAAATCGATAGCACAAACAATCGCTGGGTTGTAGTTGGTATACTGTACAGGATCATTGGTTACGTAATGGGTACCTATATATACCACAATGCATTGCATCACTGTTCCTATGGTTTCCTACTTATTCGGTTGTATCGATTGCAGATACTATGTAAACATACTTAACTCAGATGTAATATACCGATGACAAGCTTGCAAACTTAGGAAAATCCTACTTTATATAAAATATACAATGGTAAACATTAAAATCAGTACCAAGTGATCATAAATGATTGATTAAAATAAAATTGTTAGTGATTTTTGACAAATTTATTAATGCAAAGAATCAAGGGTCCAAAAATTTACAGTTCTTTGTAGTAAGAGGCTACCTAGCTTTTTGAGCCCCCTTTTGAAGTGACTACTTATCGCTCGGCAGGCATAAAAACAAGAGCATTTTGAACGGGAATAAAATCATATTGTTTAAAGCGCATTTGAACAGAAATATGGCATTAAAATCGCGTACGATTATTGTTACGTGTTAGTTTGGTGCTTTATAAGCGATATTTGATATTTAGTAGGACGATGCGTAGGACAAATGCCGATGGCGCGGCTTCGAACCCCCCGAGCGGACGCTTTTTTTTTCTTATAATAGGTCGCGGTAAAAAGAAGAGGCCGAAGGATTGCGAGAGAGAAAGAAGTCGTCACTTCTGTCGCCACATTCAAAATATCTATCCCATTAAACAAGTTCTGATCTCAATGAAATGGGCGTCTTTCGACTTGAAATTCACGGACAAGATTTTTAAAATTTCAACATGTAGAAAGGTCTGATAGGGTAAAGAAAGTGTATAATGTGCCTAAAAAGGTTTGGGAGAGTCTAGAAAGGGTTGAAACCGACCAGAAAGGACGCTAAAAAAAGCCCATGAAGGCTGTGAGGGAAGCACCCTATGATCCTGGAAGGCGTTTGAATTTTCAAAAGCAGTCTATGGCATTTTATATGATCTCCAGAGTCCTTACAATTTTCAGGAGAAGATATACTATGCTGAACCTGGCCCAGTTCAAGGTCGCTCGCCACCTGGTAGTGATTTTGGAAAGCAGGTGAAGGTAAAATGGCCCTATTTTGTAATGTCATTATTTCATTTTCAAGGTGAGTAATGTTCAATAACCTCCAATTTTTTGCGGTAGGTATAATAGTTCATTTTCAAGGTCATCACCGGTAAAGATCCTATTTTTGTGGTGTCATATTTCAAGGTTTGCCACATTTTCCAAGGTCATAAATGTGATTGTCGTACCTTATTAAATTTTCACGGGTAATGGGCCCATTTTTGTGGTGTACTACTTCAATTTCATGGCCATCAGAGGTCGACGACACCTTTTTATGTTATCAAGTTTTATTTTCAAGGTTATCAAAGTTCTATGATCTAATTTTTACGTGTCTATTTTCCTTTCCCAAGGTCATTCAAGGTCAGACATTTGTTTGCGCTGTCACATTCCATTTTCAAGATCATCGGAGATCAATGACTTTACTTATTGCAGCGTCGAATTTTGCATTCAAGGTCATCCAAGGTCAATAAACCATTTAAAATTAAAAAATGAAATACACCACCACAGAAATGGGGTTATTGACCTTTGATTGCCTTGAGAATAAACCATGGCTAAAAAATGGTAGTCCTTGACCTTTGCTACCTTGAAAATAAAATAACATCGCACAATGGAGGTCATTGAGCTTTTGATAACCTTGAAAATAAAATGACACCACAAATCTGACCTTTAATCACCTAGAAAATGGCATATTACACCGCCGAAAGAATGTAGGTCATTGATCTTTGATAACCTTGAAAATGAATTAGGACACTAAAAAAATTACCTCTGAATACCTTGAAATAGTGTCGACCTTTGGTAACCTTGAAAGTGAAATATGACAAAAATTAGATCACCGCCACCTTTAAACTTCACCTAGACATACTTTCCGAAATCACCACCAGATGGCGAGTAACCTGAACCAGGTTCGCCCCTATCTACTTCCAGGATACTATCCCAGAGCTAGGCGAGATTAGAGTGCTGTGGGGAAAAAGTAATCTCTGTGGGGGGGGGGGGGGGTATTTGGCGTAGAGAAAATAATCAGCTTCATTCTTCTATGTGGTTGAGAAAAAATGAAGTGATGGAACGCCTCGTAGGTCTCAAACCAAACATTTTAGACTTTTGGGGTATTTGTAAAAATTAACGTGGTTTCAGTGCCCTCTACCGCCCAACAATTGTTTACATTACGTATAGTCGTAACACCCTGTATAAGGCGCGTCAGTCATTTGTTTTGTTAGTGCCTTTGTTTATAATTAAAAAAAAGAAAAAATTCATTCCGTCATGGCCACCCAAGATATCATTGCGATTGTGAAGACTGAACGTGAAGAGGAAATCGACGCCTACTTAGAGAAGATGGATTTTGTGAACGAAACAATTGATTCGATAAAGCCGGAGTTCGGTGAGGAAATTGCGACCTGTGCAAATCACGTGACAAACGTATCACTGCAAGAAGAACAAAAGTGTAATAGGGTGGTTGAAAAGAAATACAAATGTGGCCAGTGTGGCTACGCAACACATTTAACGAATAGATTAAAAATTCACGAATTAACCCACAACGCTTCCAAAGATTTCGTTTGTGAACATTGTAATTATGCCACGCATACGCAGATTAGTTTAAGGCGTCATCTCTCAGTACATGAAAATGTCAAAAGCTTTCGCTGTGAACAGTGTCATTTTTCGACAATATGGAAGAAAAGCTTAAAGAGCCATCTTCTCAAGCACACCACTTTCAGACCGTTTAAATGTGACCAGTGCAATTACGCAACGAACAAGAGCAATTTAAAGACTCATCTTGCTTGCGATCAGTGCAATTATACCACACATGATGCCGCACATTTAAAACGTCATCTTTTAACGCATCGTACTTTGAAACAATTTTGTTGCGCCCAATGCAATTTTGCAACCAAATGGAAGATGAGCCTAAAAACTCATTTGTTAACACACGCTACTTTTAAAAGTCTTAAGTGTGACAAGTGCAATTATGCTACAAATATCAAGGGCTATTTAAAGAATCACCTTTTAACTCACAAATCTTCCAAGGATTTCATTTGTGATCAGTGTAACTATACCACAAATTATAAGCAGAACTTAAAGATTCATCGTTTAGCACACGCCACCTCCAAACGAGTTTAGTGTATCCTATGGGGACTGTTTTCAGTGTTATAATTGAGATATTTTAGATCATGTCTATATGGCTGAGGCATTTGTCCATCTCCTACTCTAAAAAGAGCTATTGTAAACACATATTTGTTACTAAGGTTTCTACATAAATATATAATATATTGTAACATTAGTTTCAAAATAATGGCTAATACAGGGTGAACATTTGACTAGAACACTAGATTTTTCTTAAAGAAACTTTACGGTATCAAAAATTGTAAAACGTTTGCTACCAATTTGGGTACTTTAAATTTATTGAAATACGTAGATTGGTAGCCATTTTATAATTTTGGATACCATAAAAATCTGCTTTAACAAAAGCGTTGTTTTGAAGATACATCTAGTAGTGTTCCAGACAAGACGTTCACCCTGTATAAAAAGTATAGAAAATGCCCTATGTAGTTCATTAACCATGTACCGGGTGACCCAATAAGATTGTTCCTCGGCCATATCTCAAGAACCGTTCGTCATATGACTTAGGGGTAAAAAAATTATTGGGTAAATCGGTTATGAAGAATGACCAACAGGGGGCGTAACTGTCATCTTAAATTTTTAAATTGCATTTTCTTTAAATTTCGCATAATAAACTAAACATTTTTTTTTCAAATTTTTAAAGAGAACCAATTTTTCTATAATTTTCGTAAAAATAATAACTCAGTTATTTCAAAAACAAAGATGGCGTGGGACGTTCAATTGTTTTTGCAATAACCTGTTTTAACTTCTTAACCGTTTGACCAATTTTAACACATTTGGTATGGTTGAAAAGAGCATTCCTTTGGCAATGAGAATCAAGCAAAATATAGTTATTTTCGTTGAATCCTTCTCCGTCAGGGGGCTAGTTTTGACACTATGACCCACAATCCTAAAAAACTCAAATGGAATATGACTTTTTCTTTAAGAAAAAATAGTCAAATAACATCCAAAGAGGCCAGTGAAAACCGTTCTTCAAAATCTCGTTTAAGATCGCAGTTACGCCCCCTGTTGCTCATTTTTAGAACTTGAAAATATTTTCCAGCGATTCTTCATAACCGATTTACCCAATAATTTTTAAGTCATGCGACGAACGGTTCCTGAGATATGGCCGAGGAACAGTCTTATTGGGTCACCCGGTACATTATACACAATTATTGAAGAGGGTCTTGTACGATTCAACCAGTAGTTTGATTTTGTCAAAATTTGTATCCGGAAATAATAATACGTCAAATTATGTAGATCAGCAAAATGACAGCTTTTTTGTGTTTATGTCGTCCTGATAAAAAAATTCTGAAGGTCAAACACATTACAGTGGAGAGGATGTATGTCGATCAATTCCGACATCTTATTTATTCGTGATACAGTGACTGTCAACCTATTTGACAACCGTTCGCGTTTATGCGCTCCTGATTCTTTCCATGTTTTTTTAATGCAACAAGTTGTGAATAGAAATTTGTATCAGGAGTACGTGAGAAAGTATCTGTTAACAAATTTGAGATTAAACACCTCACTGAGAGAAGGTGCATCAGGAAAGCATAATACGCAAGAACGTCTCGATTAATAACTTTTATATGTTCCTAAATTTGTAAAAAATTGTATCAGGCGACCATAATACGTAAAATTATGTCGATTAGCAAAATGACACCTTTTTTGGGTTTATGTCATCCTGATAAAACAAAACCTATTTGACAACCGTTCGCGTTTATGCGATCCTGATTCTTTCCATGTTTTTTTAATGCAACAAGTTGTGAATAGAAATTTGTAGCAGGAGTACGTGATACGTGAGAAAGTATCTTTTAACAAATTTGAGATTAAACACACCTCACTGAGAGAAGGTGGTATCAGGAAAGCATAATACGCAAGAACGTCTCGATTAATAAATTTTATTTGTTCCTGAATTTGTAAAAAATTGTATCAGGAGACCATAATACGTAAAATTATGTCGATGACAAATTTGATGCTTTTTTTGCGTTTATGTCATCCAGAGGTAGCAATTACATTTCATGGGAGATACATTATATGGGAGAGGATGTCCGTTAATCAATTCTGACACCATTTCTGGTTTGTGCGATCCTTGTGATGGGTGCCAGAAATACATTACTCGTGATAATTAAGACGTTCGTCATCAAATTTGACTTATCTTTTCGCATTTATGTGATCCTGATGCGAGCAATTCTAAAAGGAAATGTATGTCAAAAGAACGAAACACTCATCAAAGTCTCTGTGAACAAATGTTACATGTTCTTGTGTTAAGAAGTTTTTGAATAGAAGATTGTATCAGGAGGACAAGAGGAAGTCATAACCTTTTTTGCGTATCCTGATTCAAAAACTTTGAAAGAGAAGTTTATGCCAGGAAGACATACCGAAAAAAAAAGATGGCTAATGGAAAAATAGTCTCTCTCTCAGAGAAGGAAATATTGATGCCATCTTTGGGATCCTATTTCTGATTCTTCAGATCATTCTGTCGCCTTTAATTCCTCCCAATACATTTTAACATTCTTCCAATGCTTTTTCTGGAGGACACGAACGCCACTGGTCGCATCTGCCCATGCGCTTTGTAAGGCACCGAGTGTTTTTTGGTTTTTTGCCTCTTGACCTTTTTTATTCATACATTCCAATTGGGGAAACTAGCCTTTTGGAGGGCAACACATTTATTCCAGAAGCCATTCGCAATCATGTCGGTTGATCCCACAATAGTTGTTAAAGTGGAGCCAAAACAAGAAGAGGAAATTAATGAAACTGTGTACCAAATGGTGTACATTAACAACACAGTTCCACTCACAATAAAGGAAGAAGAAAAAAAGTTCTCAATTCCAAGAGAATGTCCACCGTCCAAAAAGTTTAAATGTTACCATTGCAACTATAGCACAAATTCAAAGTGCAATCTAAAACATCATCTCCTAACTCACGGCGCTTTTAAAAGTTTTAAATGTGACCAGTGCGATTATGCCACAAACATCAAGGGACATCTGAAGATGCACTTTCTGAAACACAGCGACAAGAATTTGAAATGTGTCCAGTGCGATTATGTAACCAGTATCAAGGGGAATTTAAAGCAGCATCTTCTGACGCACAGCATTTCGAAAGATTACAAATGTGACCGGTGCGATTACGCAACTAGTATAAAACGAAATCTCAAGACGCATCTCGTAACGCATACCGCTTCCAAAGATTTTAAATGTGACCAGTGTAATTACGCGACAATTAGAAAAATGTGCTTTAAACAACATTTGTTGCGACATAAAGCTTTGAAAGAGTTAAAATGTGATGTTTGCAGTTACGCTACAAATATCAAGGGGCTTTTAAAGCGACATGTCTTGTCACACAGAAGTTCTAAAGAGTTTCAGTGCGATCGGTGTGATTATGGAACGAGTGTAAAGGAGCACTTGCAGCTACATTCTCTAAAACACACCGATTCTAAGGGTTTTAAATGTGACCGTTGTAGTTATGTAACGTGTACCAAGGGGAATTTAAAAACACATCTTTTGACACACAGTACCTTCAAAGATTTAAAATGTGATCAGTGCGATTATTCCACAAACAGAAAGGAGTGTTTCAAGCAGCACCTCTCAAGACACCTCGCCTTGAAGGAATTCAAATGTGAACAGTGTAGCTATGCGACGAACGTCAAGGGCCATTTCAAGCAACACCTCTTAACCCACCGCAAAAATTGCGACCTCGCGGGCCTCGTCTGCGACCTCTGCGATTATTCCACGAATAAAAAGGCGCTGCTAACGCAGCACACTTTAACGCATCACACCTCCAGAAACCTCAAGTGCGATTTGTGCGATTACGCGACGAGCATGAAGAAGAATCTCAAGGTGCATTATCTGACGCATAGTGCCGTTAAGGATTTTAAATGTGGTCAGTGCGATTACGCGACAAGCTTGAAGGGTAATCTCAAGACGCACCTTTTAAAGCACAGCACGTCCAAAGATTTGAAATGTGATCGCTGTAGTTACGCCACCAATAATAAGGTGTGCTTGAAGCGGCACGTTTTGACGCGGCACACGGAGGGAGTTTGAACATGAACTTTCAAAAAAATTTTATAAGTGGATAAAGTGCATTTAAAAATGTATCTAAAATACAAGAGGTATTGGAAAGAGAATTGAAAATGTAATGTCTATTGAAAATTTATTTATTTAGATAAAAGTGTTTGTATAAATAATGTATGTATACTTATGCTAATTAGAGGATCCCCTTCTAGTATTTCTTACGCATAGTCCAGCAGCGGGCATGAGATAAGGCAGCAACGTATACTGCATAGCATCGGAACTGCGTGCGCTCCTCTCTTCACAGAAGAAACGATTAGTCCAATAGAGCAATATTACACTGATGATAATACACTTCCACATGAATGCATATCCTAAAATAATATAAATGCATAGCTAACTACCTGTACAGTATAAGTTATAACAAACAAACAAGCAAGCAAGCAAGCAAACAAACAAACGAATAAGCAAACACGAGATTCAGATATGGTACATACAAAACAAAGTTTGGAGCACGCCATGCTTTAGAGAAACAGACCTCAGCACTTGCAAAATAACAACAAATTGTGAATTCAAAGATTGATGGTTAGTACGAGAAAGAATAAAAACTACTACAATCTCTAGTTACACTTTTCAATCACAGCAAACCTTGAGAAAAACCCGGTACGCCATCCCGCCATTACTCGCCAGCTCGGATCGGAATCCCGTAAACGATGTCAACTTTCCGTGAAGTTTCATTGTGAAAAATCCCATTTGTCCGCAGTCTTTTTTCCTATCGTGGCATTCTTTCTGATATAAGGGTAGGGGGCATCACAAAATCTTCAAAGAATCCGCAGGGCTCAAATCTTGAGATGATCTTTAGAGACGTCTTTTAGTCCATGCGAACAGATCCGGGGAAATTAAAGTAAGGCTCAGTGAAGGATAAAGGAACTCGTGAAGAAGGCGTGAGGGATTTGTGAAACACGTGCGTATGTTGGCGAATGAGACGTAAAAAGGCGTTACAAATGAAAATTATCTTCACAAAATATCCAGATAATCTTCAGAAGATCTTCAAAGGACTTTTAAAGTATCTTTCAGATGTTATCGAGAATTATTAGAGAATATTCTGGAAACCTTTAAAGAATCGATTCGGACGTTTTTTTTAGTGTCGAAGTATGACGGTTGAGGGCGAAATAGATTTGAAGAATGACAAGGAAGAGTTAAGTAAAGGGGGCGTGTAGAAGGCGTTAATGAAACGTAAGAAGAGGATGAATTGAGAGGTAAATAAGAACAAGTATAAATTGTGCACAACTCCTGTGCAGATAAAGCGCATTTTTTAAACCGAAATTGTTTTGTTCCACTCCCCCCCCCCCCCCCCCCGTACTTTGATAAGACAACAGAAAGAAGGGCAGTAGTTTGTAGAAAACGGTTCCTTTGTTGAGACCGTTAATTAGAATACAATGAAAGATAAAATTAATTTTTAACCCTCCCTCCCTCAGACCCCGTCGCTGACTAATCTCGAAGATCAGTCGCACGAGATAGATATAATTTGTACAAACCAATTTATTTCGATGAGACCTTTCATTAGAATACCATGAAGGGTAGAACATGTGCCCCCTCCCCCTCCGTCCCATTTTCTAAAGTTTAACTTGGCACCACTAAAGGCATGCGTATGCAAAATCAAAAACAGCATATAGGAAATAATTCGTGGGGGGGAGGGGGCCTTTTAGACAGCGAAATTTGATGACCGTCTGGCACACGTTCAAAGTATAAGCTACCTATTTCGCAAAAAAATTCAGGACTGTAGTCTCTAGGACCATTCCCCTAGAAATACTTCGAAACGGCAGAAGTGGGTCCGGACGGATGGACGGACAAAACGCAAACAATAGCACATTTTTTTTAATTCTTAAAAAATGCGCTAAAAAAGCGTAATTACGATTTGAAACAGGCACCAAAACAGATGCAAATAGAGAGAGAGAGAGAGAGAGATGCGAGAAAAGCGTAAATGAAAAGTGGGAGCGCAAAGGAAAACGAATCGCGAAGAAGACTCGATGGAGATTTAAATCAGACCGAAATGGGGAAGCAAAACAGGTAGAAGTATGGAAGACTTAAAGAAGGTGCGTAGGCGACGTATGGAAGAGGTGAAAGAGATGTCTATAGAGGACGTGAAGGCGTGAAGGAGGAGTATAGAACGGAGGCCAGGAGACGGGAATGAGACGAACAAAAACGCGAAGAGAGCCTTTTAGGAAGCGAAAAAAAATGGCGAGTAAATGTATATAGTGGGTTGGGTTGGACTGGCAGAGCGGCCTTGGTTGAAACTCCGCCCACTCAAAAATAAAGGCAAATCAAAAATAAGTAAACATCTTTTAAAATGGGTTTTTTAATGTTTGAGACGGATTTTAGAGTTCCCCCGAGTTCCTGACAGCCCAATTAAAGGTCCTGAAAGGCTCACAAAAGCTCTTACCGATTCCGGTCTCAAGGCGACGACCCTAAAAGCTTCCGGAAGACTCTTTAAGGCCCTCGGTGACGCATAAAGACCAATAAAATCTTTTATAGGCTTTTGAGTGCTCTTCAAGACAAACACTTCTAAGGCGTATTAAAGACTTTTATAAGTAGTCTAAAAACCAATACAACATTTTCAAAAACTCTTAGAAGGCTCTTTGAGTTTTTTGCTTAATCTTGAAAAGCTTTGTGTGTTGGAGGGGAGGGGGGTATTCCATATCCGTAGCGATTTTTATTCAGTATGGGGGGAGGGCATGGAATACCCCCTAGCCACAAAAGAGAGTTGTTCAATTTTGGCTGGGGGGCATTACATGCCCGTAGCGATTTTTATTCTAAATAATGGGGAATATACCAACACCAACGGGAGGGGGGGGGAGTTATAGGATACCCCATCCACAAAAGAGAGCAGATTATTTTTTAGTTACTCCTCTCTGGCTGGGAGGGTATTTCGTACCCCTAGCGATTTTTAATTTGTATAAGGAGGAATATACCCCTGGGGGCCATGAAATACCCCCTCAGCCACAAAAGAGAGTAGTTTAATTTTGACTTACTCCCTTCTTACTGCGGGCTACTACATGCCCGTAGCGATTTTGTAAATAAGAGAGAATATACCACCGGGGGCCATGAAATACCCCCCAGCCACAAAAAAAAAGTAGTTTAATTTTGAGTTATTCCCTTTTGCCTAAGGGGTATATTCCATATACCCGTAGCGATTTTTATTCTAAATAAGGGGGAATATACCAACACTAACGAGGGGGTAGGGTGTTATAGGATACCCCCAGCCACAAAAGAGAGCAGATTATTTTTGAGTTACTCCCCTCCGACTGAGACGTATTGCGTACCCCTAGCGATTTTTATTCTAAATAAGGGGGAATATACCAACACCAACGGGGGGTTATAGGATAACCCCATCCACAAAAGAGAGCAGATTATTTTTGAGTTACTCCTCTTTGGCTGGGAGGGTATTTCGTACTCCTAGCGATTTTTAATTTGTATAAGGAGGAATATACCCCTGGGGGCCATGAAATACCCCCCAGCCACAAAAGAGAGTAGTTTAATTTTGACTTACTCCCTTTTGGCTGGGGAGTATTACATGCCCGTAGCGATTTTGTAAATAAGGGAGAATATACCACCGGGGGCCATGAAATACCCCCCAGCCACAAAAAAAAGTAGTTTAATTTTGAGTTATTCCCTTTTGGCTAAGGGGTATATTCCATACCAGTAGCGATTTTTATTCTAAATAAGGGGGAATATACCAACACCAACGGGGTAGGGGGTGTTATAGGATACCCCCAACCACAAAAGAGAGCAGATTATTTTTGAGTTACTCCCCTCCGGCTGGGAGGTATTTCGTACCCCTAAGCGATTTTTATTCTGAATAAGGAGGAATATACCACCAGTGGATATGGAAAACCCCCCAGCCACAAAAGAGAATAGTTCAATTTTGGACGGGGGTTTTCCATACCCGTAACGATTTTTATTCTAAATAAGGGGGGATAATGGCACCGGGGGAATGGAATACCCCCAGCCACGAAAGAAAGTAGTTGAATTTTGAGTTACTCCCTTTTGGCCGGAGGGTATTTCACACTCGTAGCGAGTTTTATTCTGAATAAGAGGGAATATACCACCCCAACGACAAAAGAGAGTAGTTTAGTTTTGAGTTACTCCCTTTTGGCTGTGGTGTATATTCCATACCCGTAGCGATGTTTATTCTGATTAAGGGGGAATATACAAACACCAACCCGGGGGGGGGGTTACAAGATACCCCCAACCACAAAAGAGAGCAGATTATTTTTGGGCGGGGGTTTTTGCATATCCGTAACTATTTTTGGGATTGGGGATAATATCATCGGGGGAATGGAATATCCCCAGCCACAAAACAGAGTAATTAAATTTTGAGTTACTCTCTTTTGGCTGGGGGGTATTTCATACTCGCAGCGATTTTATTCTGAATAAGGTGGAATATACGACCGGAGGGTATGGAATATACCCCAACCACAAAAGAGAGTAGTTTAAATTTTGAGTAACTCCCTTTTGGCTAGAGTATATTCTATATCTGTAACGATTTTTATTCTGAATAAGGGGGACTCTCGTCATAGGAGAACTTGATAGTTCTTTCTCTATTACCGCTAGCACTATTATAATGTTAGCGAAAAGGTAATCAAATTTTCGTAATGCTCCCCGGTACTACGGTCTCTCACAAAAGCGGCCAGTATCCTTAACTCCTTTGATACTTTTCGAGAAAGAACAGTCGAATCTTCCTTTCCTGAGGAATATTTTTTACTATACAGGATCGTAGTTTTGCCTCTAAAATGATTCATAACTACCATTTTTGTAAAAGAACGTATTACCGTGGTGGGGGGGGGGGCGGTGTCTGGGAGTATGTAATACTCACCCACCCCTTCCCCCGCAGATAGTACCCTTGCCAAAGGAGGAATTGATAGTTCTCTCTATTACCCCTTTCACTCTTATGGCAGTCTTAGCAAAAAGGTACTTAATCGAATTTTCGTAATTTCTGTAATGATACTCCCCAGACCTCTCGGTACTACGCTCTCCCACAAAAGAGCTCGGCCTCAACTCTCGTGATACTGGTTAAGAAAAAAACAGTCGAATCTTCCACTCCTGAGTAATTCATTTTGGACAGAATCGTAGTCTTGTCTCGAAAATTATCGTGGGAGTGATAACTTTGCCGTTTTTTGTAAAAGAACGTATTGTCGGGGGGTCTGTGGGGTCCCCCACCCTGCAGGGAAAACTCTAGTCATAGAAGAACTTGATAGTTCTTATTATCCCTAGCCCATACAACACAGTCCTTCCACTATGTTACGTTCACTTTGGGCCAACGTGACAAAATTACCTTAGATAAGCACACGGTAAGCTCAGGCAAAGTAGAGGTGGGTCGGGGTGAAAATGGGGTCCTTCTATACACACACAAATAAGCCAAAAAGGGAAGGAAACAGTAAAAGTAATCCGGATAGGCGCCACTTAATCTTTGGTAAATTTAGAGAGAGAGGACTACTAAAGGGATGAACAAGGCAGACCAAGAGATCCTTGTTCTCGTCTTACTAAACTCAAAGGAATACACAATTATGGGGAAAACAAACAGTATTTGATGTATAAATGCGGGTAGTTTAGTAACAAAGATCTCAAAATATCACAAATCTGACACTGTAATATATCGATCTAGTATAACAAACTGGGAATTTAACATAATCTCTAATAAAACAAATGAGAAGCCAACACATAGCCTGGGAAAATATTTATCCAAAAGGGCTTCCGCAGAAACAACGGAGCTATAATCATTAAGTGACTTTCAAACAAAGTAATAATCACAACTCGTTAGTATCAACAACCAAAATGTAATCAAACGTTAAAAGGGAAAAACGACGAAAATAACTAAATTTACCTTGAACTCCGGTCGCAACCTTCCGAGCTCAGAGGACGCGAAACTGCAAATCTGAAACAGTCAGACACAAACACAAAAAAAATATAAGAAGGGTAGTGATTCGCGTTGCACAATATATCACCTAAGCAATGGTTAACGTAAGACACAAATGGTTATTCTTGTACGTAGAATTGCAATCAATACTAAAAAGAATCAAAAATTCAAATGACTTTACGACAAAACAAAATTTGGTTCGACTAAGGGTTGGTTTTCACAATCGGTGTGAGATATCAAAAAGTGACATAAAGGTTTAAGAGAAAAATACTATAAAATGTACAAATAAAATAACTGAATCTATCTTCAATGACAAAGCAATCTTATCAATTCAAAAGAAATTACACGAGCAAGTTCTTCAAAGTAAAATACATAACGTTAATTAAAAATTTACACAGTACCAACTCCACACGTCTCGTTAATTAAGTACTTGCGTTTCGGAAGAATGAATCGTAGGTCAACGAACTTCGTAAAATTGGGTCAGCAGTTCAAATATCGATTTCACATGAAATGGCGGTGATTCTTCAGTCAATTCTTCAGTCGGTAAGGTAGAAATATGTAGAGCGTTTTTGATTGTAATGGCGTCGAAACTTCAATGGAATTCTATTGCACCATATGGCAAATCGGGTATTCGCGTTTCCACGTCAAAATATCAATATACAGTCAGGAAAAAATTGGTAAAACCAAAATAATAAGTAAAGGCCGTATTAGACGATGCAATTTTTATTGCAATTTTTGCAGCAATTCATTGCCGCAAGAAATTGCACGAAAAATTGCTCCGTGTATGTTAAAATTGCACGTGCAATTTCTTGCACCAAATATTGCAGCAAGACATTCTGCAATTTTCTGGTTATAGAACTTGTTCTATTTTTCTTGCAATTTTTCTTGCAATTAGGAACTATTTTAGTAACATTTAATTTATAAAAAAAATAAAGTGGTATGCACTGGAGAACATTACCTCCTTATGCTATATACAGGTTTGTTATTTAAAGTTAAAACTGAAATAACCTATTTACGAGGAATTCAAAAATGGATATTGCTGCCGCATCTTTAGTTATTGCTTCTGCTGTTGCTCTTTTAAAAAAAAAGAAACAAAGAAGACGACGACATTTTTGGACCAGGCAGTGGCTTGTCAATAACGATTTCACAAAGGGAAACCTAAACTTACTCAATGAATTTAACGAACCTGATGGCCGTTTACACCGACATATTTAAGCCGGGCTTAGCTTAAGCGTAGCTTAAAATCCATGGCAACCATTGTCTCAATAATCGTTGCCATGGATTTTAAGCTACGCTTAAACTAAGCTCCACTTAAATTTGTCGGTGCAAACGGCCATGAGTGTGAATAAGTGCGTGCAAATATAAATAATAAATTGCACGGCCTTCAACAAAGGAAACGTCACAAAACACACGTTTCCTGGTCTACAACAGACGTGAAGTTGCTTTCAAGTATTTCCCAGTGATGCCAATTCCACTTTCATTGGCACCAATACATGATTAGAATTGGGTATAAAAAAATTGCCAAATAAATTGCATAGTGTAATCATTGCATCTTTTTGCAATATTTACTGCAATAATAGCAGCAATAGTTGCTGCAAGGATTGCAATAAAAATTGCATCGTCTAATACGGCCTTAAGAAAACTTAGGGAGTACGAAAGTAGCCGTAAAACGGCCTTAAACTTGTAAGATAAATCCGCAGCAATGCGTCATCAGCGAAATTGGAAGTAAGATGATAAGAGAAAACTTCACTAATCTTAGTACAACACCACTATTTAATCCCAAAAAAAGGTAGACGAATATGTCAAGTAAGTGTAATGGCGTGTAGTTCAAATACAAGTCAAGATCGAATCGAGTTCTTCAACAAGGACTGCACGCGTCGACAGTGAGTGGGAGAAGAATAACCGCGCCAATCAACTGAACACTAGACAAAAGATTTTTTAAAAGAAAACTATATCGCAAATAAAGGATCGGGTTATAATGTGAACACCTAGATGGCGTAAGGATTGCTATATAAAGGTAAGAGTTCGCATAATGTTATTCGAGGGGGATTCCATATAGTAATTCAAATATAAGCCAAAGCAAAGATTACACGGTAAAGAAAATAACGTCACAACTAGACGTCCACATTTGATCCATTTTACGTTACGACGTCCATGTAGCAACAGTGTATACGTACACAGGACGTCCATTGCTCCATCTTATGGGATATTTAACAGGTGGTCCATAAAATAATTACAATTTACGTCCACTGGACGTATGTTATCTAATACTACAAGTATATAAGGTACTTTTTAACACAGTAAGTTAAGTTTATAAATGACGGATTTAGATTATAGGTTATGTTTTGCCGATTTTTGACCCAATATAAAAGTACTATTTGTGTGTCAACCCTGTTCAGTGGCTACGTATTTACGTACAGGTATCAATTGTAAATTAGATCTCATTAATACCATTTTTGTTTAAGACATAAAATCAATCTCTATATGACCCAAAAGAGCAAAGGAAAGGATGTGAAATTTTTGTTACATTATTTTGTATCCCCGTTCTTTTAACAGTTTTTGAATAGATATCGTTTTCAATGTACGTGTTTTATTTGTTAATCTAGTGCAATATAAGAACTTCCATAGGACGTACAGTATGACGTACATAAGCTGTCCATATCGTTGACATTTGGATATACAGTGGACGACCAATGTACAAATGGTGTGTACCTATACCCGTACGTATACAGAAGGTCCACGTATGTACATACAGTGGATGTTTAATGTATGTCTGTCTGTTGTGTGGGAGCACTCTTATGGTAAACTTAATTAATTTGGAAATCGGATTTTGGTAGAGTTACAAATACAACTGCACGTTTTAAACTCGCCTTTCAATTTAGAAAGTAATCAATTGGCCCCTGACGTTAGGCAACCTTATCTACAGATGTGATAGGCGGGCGCCAGCGCGGCTCCCGTTTTGTTCGGAGACGTCATGGCAACATCCTCAGGAAGCACGCTTCTCACCAGATTGCCACAATTTTCTGTGTAACAGTAAATAATAAAGTTCAGTTCATTCGGATTTTTAATCACTTCAACATGTTTGTTTTAATCCCCGGAAAACAGAAACTTCCGGTAATTCCCTTACGTAATCCACCCCGTATGATACGGAACAAGTGAAAATGAGAGGGGAGAAAGCAAAAACATTCAACTTCTATCGACCTAACTATATACAGGCGGTACAATAACGATGGCGACCCAGTGACTGCGCCACAGCGCGGAAGTGTGGGTGTCGGTGTTTTTCTTTTGTTTCTTTACAAAACCAATCGGAGCACCCATTGATCCCTTAAACGAGTCCTTTTCGGGTAAGTTATCGTCACCTTTTTTTTTATTTAGACGGTTGATGATTATCGATTTTCCATTACTGTTGTTATTAAAGGGTTGGGCAGAACGAAATCTGTGACAGTTGCGACTGTTTACTTATCTACCAAAAAAAGGGTGGTAAAGCTCGTTGTCTACATTCTACATTAGACCCTTTCGCGCGTGGGTACTCAACTTTAGACGCGCTTGATTAAAGCGTTATAATCGTGACCAATTCCGTTTTGTTTTCGACCGTGACAATTTCACGGCCAACTATTTTTAGGTCGCGATTTGTACTAGAGCGAAGGCGAATAAATGCGGCAAAAAAAATGTAATCAAACAAAACGCCAAAACACGACCGCTCTAAACATACCTCAATTACCTGCCCGAAAATTTAGAGCACGGATATTTATATCCATCCTCTGGGAGAATGCGTTATTTTTGGGTCTCGCCGCGTACAAAATTTACATGCGATCTCCTTGTCTTACACATGTGTTTCCATTGCAGGCCGCGCGTAAGAAAAAACTCCGTCGATCAGCGCCAGTAATGAAGATTCAATCTAGAATGGCGGTGTCATGGATAGGGACTGGGCCGAATCTGTAGACGATTTAATTTGTACGTTCGACGGTGTCGGCGACAGAACAATGGACACCTTGGCGATGTTCGTGTTCGGGTGGATTTTGGCCGCCCTCTTCCTACTATGGCTCGGCAAGCTGCTGTACTCGAAGTTCGTGCTCAAGGAAAAATCGACCGATACGACCAAGACGAAAATCGAAAGTGCTACGACCGAAAAGTTAAGTGAAAAAGTGATACCGGCCGCGGACGTAATCGACGCGAAAGTTGCGAAAAAGCTCGGCGCGGGTGTTTCGAAAGGGAAAAGCGCGGCGCCCACGCCGCCCGTCAGAAAGAGATTGACGAGACAATCGCCCGGGCCCGATTTGAGAAAGGCGAAATTCATACCGGCACCGCAGTGTACCGGACCGGATAACGTCAGTGTTTTGTGGGTGAATGACGTTTTCCAGTGGCTTTACAATGACTTGGTTATCGTCAATGAACTACTAAACGTTTGGATACAGTTCTTGAACGATTACAGCAAGAAGTCGGTCACTGAGGTAAGCAAATCGATTGGGTCGTTCAACTGCACGGAAATTATTGGACTGGCGTAAGTGGATTAGCGCCAATGAAAGTGAAAGACTTCCCAAATACCAAAGGTCGCCCGTTTTCGGTTGGATGACACGAAAACGTACATTTCTGCGTGACTAATCCAATACGCGCTTATGTCATCGCCCAACTTAATCGTCCAAAGCAATTACTCTTTCAGTCCTGTCATATTTTTACCTTTCCCATGAGCCGTGAAATGGCATCATATTTCGAGTCATATCGTATTCGATCAAACACGGCCTTTTTTTCCCACCAGCTCCCCGAGGGTATGACCTCGACCTCGAATTACCGACACCTTCGGGTACTTGATCCGCAAGTTTCCTCGGTTTCCTATAGCTTTCTTCGCCCATGATTGTTGGGTTTCGCCGATTTCCTATGCTCCTTCGAAGTCAGTTCTTCCTCGGTTTTTAGACTATCGGATTCCCTAGTCCCAAGTAGATTTAATTTATGCTATATGCGATATGTATGTTTTTACTTTTTTACTAGAAGCGTCTATGGTTAAAATTTAAAAGAAAGATGTTTATAGTAAAAAAATTTGGGACTTTGCAGTCTGCGTATGCGCGTATTTGATATTTACTATGGGCGATGTGTTTGCTTTTGCAAATGACATCTGTAGTCCTCGATTTTTACTATATGTGATGTTTTTCTCTCGGTTTTTCTCTACTAGAAGCATCTATGGTTCAAATTTTAAAGAAATATCTTCATAAATACGGAAATTGGAACTGCGCATGCGCAGTGGAAAGAGCGTTAGGTTATAAATCCGGAGATTGGGTGTTCGAACCTGGGTTGAGGTGAATTTTTCATCTGTGGTGGAGATGTAAATTACCTTAGACCAGTTCCGAGCATTCTGCCGGCTACTCCAAATTAGATTTTCCTGCAGTTTTCCTAATTCGTAAGGTAAATACCGGAGTAGAATAGACCAACTTAAGACCTTCTGCAGAGGCACCTCTAAATAGCATTATGCGGGTCACTCTGTAATTGGGCGCATGCCTGTTGAGGGCCCAAAACTAAGAGAGGGATAATAAATAAATAAATAGACGGCGTATGAGCACATCGAGGAGCACATCTTGTTCAAAAGCATCTGTGATTAAAATTCCAAAGATATATCTATAAATAAGAATGCGATATGTTTGCCTTTACTCGAGCCTTTACTGGAAGTATCTATGATAAAAATTTCAAAGAAATATATTAATAAATAACAAAGTCAAGATTTTTCTTGCCTCAAGTGGCAGAGCTATAATCTACCGAATTCGAAAAGAACGAATTAAATATATTGAAAACTGTAGCAGTAGTTAAGGCCTCGGGCGGACAGAGAAAGTGGCTGCAACAACGCCCCCTTTTCGTTTGGAAATGCGCTAAAAATTAGTACATTCTAAGATCTTTTTTGAATCTATTGTATAATTAGAAGGGAAGTTCTCTAAAGCGCCTTCTAAAAACTGTCACTACGATTTTCCAAAAAAAAAACTAAAAGATTTCCAAAAATTTTTAATTTCGAAGGTTTACAAGGAATGTTTGTAATTTTTTAAAATATTTTTTAAATTTCCGAGATCTTTTTTGAATTAATGATATATAAATTTTTCTAAATTTAAATTTTGTAGAAAACTAACAAAATATCAACAACAAAGTTTATACAGAAATGTATAATTTTTTAAGAGGACTTATTGATTGAATTGATCATATATAAAATTTCCTAAAAACTGTTTAAAATAAAATATTTCTAAAAGGATTTTCCAAAAATGTGTAACATTTGCAAGGAATGTTTATGATTCTCTAAAATAATTTTTAAGATTTTTAGGAAACACTTTTTTTGAATCGACCATAAGTACATTTACAAGGAAAGAATCACTAAAGCGATATCTCAGATTCTTCAAAAAACTGTTTAATACATACCGAGATACATGCTTACTACGATTTTTTAGAAAGCGTCTAGAATATTTTCAAAAAGTCGTAAGATTTACATGTTTTTCATTTTTAAAAAATATTTTAAGATCTTTTTTGAATTGATCATCTTTAATTTTCCTAAAAACTTTTTAAAATTGAAAATTAATATTTCCAAAAAGAAAAAAGGTCTAAGGCGAGGTCTAAGGTTTACAAGGAAATGTTACTAATTTTTTAAAATATTTTTTTTTAGTTGTTCGTATATAAAGGAATGTTTCTACTTTTCTAAAATAAGTGGCAGACCCTGCGAACTTCTTTTTCTTGGGAGCATACCTGGCGAACTTATTACCGCCCATTAGTCAATGTTTCACCTCGCGCACCGGGCGAGTCATCTAAAAATCTAGAGGTACGAATTACGAAACTAGGATTTTCTAGAAAACTCCTAAAAGTATTCCAAAAAAGATTTTCAAAAATTTACAAGGAATTTCTCTAATTTCTTTAAATATCTTTTAAGATTTCTAGGAAGATATTTCTCGAAGTGATCATATAATTAGAAGGGAAAATCTCCAAAGAGATTTCTAAAAGATTATCCTACAGACTTTTCAAAACTACGGCTTTGTGGGGAAGTTTTACGAATATTTTTTAAAAGTTTCCAAAACATTGTAAAATTTGCAGGGAATATTGCGAGGAATACATAAATTCTAAAATGTTTTTTTTTTTAGAATTTCTAGAACGCACTTTTTTGAATGGATCCTATAATAGGAAGGGAAGGTCCTCGGGAAGGTCTCTATAAAACGTTTTAAGGAAGATCTGTAAAGCGATCTCTAAAAGATTCTTCTAAAAGCTTTTTTAAACCAAAATGTTGTAGAAAACTAGGAATATTTCCAAAAAGCTTTTCAAAAAATTTCTAAGATTTGAAGGAATATTTCTGATTTTCCAAGATAATTTTTTTAAAAAGTTTCCAAAAGATTAGTAGGTACAAGGAAAGTTTCAAATTTTTTAAAATTCCAGTGCATCTTTTTCGAGATCTTTTTTAAGATCTATTGAATACACTTTTTAAATCTCGTTTTAAACTAAAATTTTGTAGAAAACTTCCTCGAAACTTCTAGGATTTCCAAAGAATCTCTCAATTCTCGCCTAATCTCTACTACCAAAATAGCAAAGTGGCCCATACAATCCCACTCGATTTGGTACACCCTGTATATTCCTTCGCAAAATAAATTGCCTTTTGTAAGCCAAACAAAATACACATACGTACACCGTAAATATGACCTAGGCTCGGAGGGTCTCAGGAGTTGTGCAATATCTGTTCAAAAACTATATACAGGGTGCTCAAGTATACAAGTGAAGTGAGTACATGTGAAAGTTCTGTTTTGAAAACGCGAAAACTTATTTTTTAACGGAAATCGCCTTCTTTCTTTTCATCAATGGTTATTACTTTGCGACTTTCTCCACATATCGCTGATAAATTAATGCAATCTTCCTTGGCCAAGTAATCAAATTAATTTGTCTTTTTGATGGCTTGAATCCAAACCGACTAAAAATTATAAATGCTTACGCTGGCTGCATAACTCGCTGCATAATTTGCGCATTTTCAAAACTGAAAACTGTCGCATGTATTGCTGAGCACCCTGTATATATTTTATTAACTCATCTCATTCCGTAAGAATCCAATATGGCGTCCATAACAACTAAGAAAGTAATCTAGCGTGTCATTTCCGACCTTTAGAGCTAGGGAAAATGAAATCGAAATTTGACATTTTCAGTTTCTCGGTGAAATCTGATATTTTCACAAATTTTTCAAAAATTTCAAATGCGTTTTTTTAGTGACAAAAAGGGGCATCTGTGCCACGAATTTGAACCACCCTGTACAGTTCGTGCAGTTCAAGCCGCGCGGGCCCGAGTGAGTACGACAGTTTCTTGGGAACGAGAGGGGGTATATAAAATACTAGTGTGGAAGGCGAGGTGGAAGGGTTTGAAAGAGGCGTGGATGAAAAGGTGACGTGTAAAGAGGTAAAGCCGAGGGTAAAGGTTTGAAAGAGGCATTAGAGAGAGTCACAAACTGTGACTCCTACCGTAAGTTCGCCTCCTTTGACTTGTTATATTTAGTAGTACTTAAGTTTTAATTCCTTTAAGGCTCATCGTTTTAAAATTGGTTTTATTGGGCCAATCTACAGGGTGACCCATTTTCGAAAATTATTAGTACTATCGAAAAAGCAATAGAGGGCGTTTTTGGGGTGAACCAAAATTCCAAAAAAATTAAACAAAATTCAAAAATGTTAAAAAATATTTTTTGGTTTTTTTTTAACCTTCTTGGAATTTTTTTAAATCTTTTGGAATGTTTTGAATCACTTGAATGTTTTTTTAATCTTATGTTTAAAAGAAAAATTTAATATTGCTGTTTTTTAGATTAAAATATAAAAAATGTACAGGGCGTTCCATTAAAAAATGAGGTTAAATCCGATAACCTTTTTACCTGACCTCGGCAGATTATTCAACAAGTATTATAAAGAAACTTTTGTATAAAACATTTGTATCTCTTTTAACTAAAAAAATATAGGGTCAATCCGAGGGTCAATCTGAACTTGACATTTTTTGATTTTCCCTCGTATCTCTTCAGGTATGTCCATTTTGATTTTTCAAAAACGTATGCAAATGACGATAACACGTTTTGAAAACGTAGATTAATATCTCGATTAATATTTCGTACAGGGTGTCTCAATTTCTATGCATCATTCGATTTCGCTTGGTCATATTGATTTTTCTCAAATAGCAACGTGGCAATTTCAAAAAATGGCTCAATTACCTGACACATTTTTCACAATATGCTGTTGCTAGATACAAAATCGGGTAATATCGGAAAAATGTAAAGACGTAATTCGATTATAAGTATGTAACTCCTATCACTTGTGTTTTTTTCGATATTTTGAAGGATAAATCCTCTTTAAAACAATGAATATGGCAACCGCGCAATTAAAAAAATGCTCAATTCGTTTTTTAGCATTTGTTATTACACGACACACAAAGAAAACAAAAGTTCGGTTTCAACAGGATGGTGCACCCACGCACAACGCCCACATCGTGCGACAATACCCATCAGACAGATTTTCTATTTTCCAGGACATTGGTTCGATAGGTATCCGAGGATCTCCAAGGATATTCCGCGGATTTCTAAGGATAGTCAAAGAGGTCTGGTGAATCTCGATGGATGTTGGGTGTACAAAATTTTATCTTTCCCCCTCTGTCGATATGTCTCGGGAATCGTAAGGGGTAACTATGTTGGGAATATACTAGGGAATATACTTCAATTTTCTCTTTATCTGCACTGCACGGTCGACGGTCAGACCTGATGGGTAGAATTTGAGTTTGTACTAAAAGTGTATCTCGGAAAAATTACATAATTGTTGGAGTGAACCGGCATATACTTGAACTACGCCTTTACTATGTAGCCGATCTGTCTCGAAATTGTAGCTAAGAAATTAACATACATCACCTACGAATGTAACAGCTTAATGTCGATCAAAGTCAAAACCAAGTGGGGAATATAATGGCATATACGAGGGCATATACTCGTTGTTTTTTGCAAAATCGACTTTATTTTCATGTGGATATTGTTTTTATTCATTAAGATTGCAAGTCATTTTGTTTAATAATAATCATCGAGCCTGTTCGAACGATGTGGTAACCGCAATTATTTTCGATTATGGTGCAATGATGTCATGTCCTTTCCGAAACTATCGGGAAACATATGGTGTTCGCCTTTTTCGTGACTAAATACCTATTATAATATTTCAATCGCGTTTTTACAACCCTCGTTATTTTCGACGGCAGTTGGAGGGGGCGAAATTGAAAAAAAGGGTGCCCCACTTAAAATATTCATAGTCGAATGTTTGTACAAAAATCGTGACGCGTTGTGCCTTACGTAACGCACATCATATGGTGACCTCTTTCAGATGACATTTACATATTGCTTAATCTACCCCAGTCCGGTCTTGTTTGTGGCGATGTTAATTCGCTACCGAAACTAGTTTTCAAAAGTGCCGGTGCAATTCCCCATAGCGTCATCCACGTCATCGTTTCCCCTTTGCTATTTGCGGTCCGTGACACCATCGTCCAGACTTAGATCATCCGAATTTGGTATCAAGGCCGACCCTTTATCGCCAATAACAACGTAATCTTGCCCCTTTCTTTCAACCCGGTGCGGATCAAACTTCACGGTCGCCGTGACTAACCGCTTTTTCACATCGTTAAATTGCGGGCAGATAAACGCCCTCCCCCCTTTCCCCCCTTTTGTACAATTAGAATTTTAAATGAGCTAATGCAAAATGAAGTAAATTATAAATATTAATTAGCGCCAGTATTGCGTAATTAAACGTTGGTACTTTTACCGCAAAGTCGGAAGAGAAAGTGCTTCCTTGACCATGTCGGTATACCTAATCGATTTAACGCTTCTGGTCTGGGTGATGATAAATTAAATAGGAGTGGAGGTATTGTTATTACGATCGCTAATGAATGCGTTGAATTAAATTTTCTACCAGAATAACTCGAAAAACAACGCAATTGACCCCCTTTACTGTTGCTGCCAGTTCAAAAAGCACATTATCTGAACCGCGTGATTATGGTGCAATGCAATGATTGCAAGGGGGGAATGCACATATGCCACGATCACTCAATGTGTTCTATTTAAAATTATTAGTAAAAGGAGTATCTCAAGGTGCTATAGCAGGACCTATATTGTTTCTTTATAAATTTACCTGCGGTGTGAAAATTTGCATTCATGAGTACAATTAAAGCTAGTGACCTACGTGAAGCAGCCTTGATTATGAGTGTAAAGTCCGAGAGATGGGGACACATGAATTCATTATTGTACTATGCATATGGGTAATATGTCATACAAGACAAATAGTTATTAAATTTAATCTCAAGTGCTTCTAATAAAGGTAAACAAATCGCAAACAGTATAAATAAGAGAGCTGCGCAATAATAACTTTCTTATTTATAGAATTCTTTCTGTGAAATTTTAACTATAGATGACCTCAGTAAAATTAAATATATACAGCACAAGAGTAAAAATCAAATGTGCGCATGCTCAGATTGCGCAATCTCTTCTAGATTTTTTTTAAGTCTTTACTATAGACGTTTCTAGTAAAGACAAACATATCGCAATTAGTGAAAACCAGACTTTTGTATTGATGGAGATATTTCTTTGAAATTTTAACCATAGATGCTTCTAGTGAAGCCTAACGTGTTGCGCATAGCGAAAATCAAATCTGCGCATGCGCGGTCTCGGTTCTCTCCGCCTCCTTCACATCTGCATCCTCGCCATTGCATTACAATTCGTCTGCTTCAAATATCCTTCAATCCTCTGTTATGTTCTTCTTTTTCGACCCCTCCGTCTTTTCTTTGCGCCTCCTTCCCGCTTCATGTGCATCTTCTGACACCCCCTTTCCTCCCGCTTCAAATTGTCATCGTCATCACGCCTTTTTTCATCGTTTCCACGCCTGATAAACTCCTCTCCCTCTAGTTGCCTCACATCAACTCTTCACGCAGCCTTCAAGCTTTCTTCAACACACTCGCCCCCGTCTCATTCCTTCTCCAGATACGCATCATGTATACTTCACGCCTTTTTTCTATTTATTCTATATGTGATTTCAAGCCCTTTACATCTTCACCTCACGCATTTTCTGCATCTTCCTCTTATTTGCTTCAAAAGTTTCCTCCCCACCCCTTTATTCCTTCCATACACCTCCCTCATCTGCTTCGGTAATTCTCACTCCAATATTTTCGCTCTCCACGTTCTGTTCACGCTTCCTTCAAGTCTTTTCTGCACACTTTCCTTATTCTTTTACATTCCCTCCACCTCCAAAATTCTCTATCTCGCCTTGCCCTTTTCACTAACGCCTCTTTCAAGCCCTTCCGCACTAGTATTTTATATACCGCCCCCTCTCCTTCCCAAGGAACTGCCCGCGCGGAGTTCAACAGTATGCCACGATCTCTCGTGCGTTCTACTTAGTATTATTAGTAAGGAGTATCTCAAGGTGCTATAGCAGGACCTATACTGTTTTTTTTTGTAAATGCGAAAATTTGCGTGCTTGAGTACAATAAAAGCTGGCCAATGACCTACGTGAAACAGCCTTGATTATGAGTGTAAAGTCTGAGAGATGGGGGCACATAAATTCATTATTGTACTATGCCTATGGGAAATATGTCATACAAGACAAATAGAGTTATTTTTTTTTTAATTTTAACCTCAAGTGCTTCTAATAAAGGTAAACAAATCGCAAACAGTATAAATCAGAGAGCTGCGCAATAATAACTTTCTTATTTATAGAAATCTTTCTGTGAAATTTTAACCATAGATGACCTCAGTAAAATTAAATATATAGGTAGTACAGAGTAAAAATCAAATCTGCGCATGCTCAGATTGCGCAATCTCTTACTTCTAGATTTTTTTAAAGTCTTTACTATAGACGTTTCTAGTAAAGACAAACATATCGCAATTAGTGAAAACTAGACTTTCGTATGTATGGAGATATTTCTTTGAAATTTTAACCATAGATGTTTCTAGTAAAGCCTAACGTGAAAAACTGAAAATGTCAAATTTCGTTTTCATTTGCCCTAACTTAAACGGTCTAAAATTGACGGTTCCCGTTAGCACGTTCTATGGGCACTTTTTTAGGAGAATCTGAATCTGCTATCAGAATTTCCATAACACTAAGTGCTTCCTTATTTCTTATGGACGCTATATTGGATTTTTACGGAATGAGATAATTACGGCGTCGATGACAATATATAAGGCGTCATCTGCAATTGTCTAGCTATAATCGATATTAAGCGCGTCAACCAATGGTGTCGCAGCGAATGATGTGTAGATAACATAAAGGCAATGATATTAACACCGTATTATTAATGACCACAGATCAATATTCTCGTTTCGAAGACAAAGTTCAACGATACGGGAGGGCGCCATTAACATTCCTTCATTTACGCTAATAGAAATCCAAATTCGAAGTTAATAAAAGTATGAGTGAAACTGAGACTATTCAAATTTGAGATTTCAATGTGAACTGAGATGTTGAAGATACATAATTTTGAATAATAACAAGAAACATTAAAGGACCTGGTATGGGTCCTTGAGACACCCCCTATCTAACTGAAAACAATTTTTTTTCTTTAGAACTGCGATTCGGTACTAATTTTGTACTTTCTTTTCCAGCAAGGCGTCGGAGTGGAATTCATTAGGATACTTCCCGAAACGCACCCGCCGGCTTTAACGAATTTATTTTGCGAATGCGACACACGAGATGACGTGGTAAGTTGTTGGGTAACCGTTGCCAAATTGAAATCCATCGTACCTTGTAATTAAAACGTAATCAACCGTTCAAAGTTTCACTTCGTCGCTTGAATTACAAAGAGCGTTCGTTCGGCGTAAAAATCGCGCACTTCCCGACTTTCTTCTCTTTTTTTTTGTAGACTATCACGTGCGATTGCGAGGCGACGCCGGCATTCCAATTGAAATGCTTCCGGCAAAAGGGCGACAAAGTCGAGACGTCGCACTATCGGGTGAATGTCAATCGATTTCGGGCGCGCCTCAACATCTTCTGCGTCAGCGACAAGCTGCAGGCCGAGCTGAAGTGCGACGGGTGGCCGGAAATTAAGGTCGCCCTCGCGCCCGTCGGTAACATCAAGAATAATCTGGACGAGACCCAGCTGCAGGAGGTGATCAGGTGAGATTTCTTCTGGAACGAGACGAAGTTTGTCTGATCGGGCGGTGTTTTCAGCGACATCGTCGTCAACGCCTTGAGGAGTACGGAGGTGCAATTAAATCTCGGTTTGTATCCGACATGCCCGCGATTGGTTCGCCACGTCGCGACGCCTGGACACTCTCTGCCCGTGCATTATGATAGCATGGTAATTTTTTTACGTACACTTCTTTCTCGCCTTTTCACTACCTTTTGTTTACTGGAAAACCGTTTCAATTCATGAAGGACTAGCATTCCTACCTCCCGCCCCCTTTTCTATGTTTTTGGGAATTTTCTTGTCAAGGACTCGACATTTTGGAACCTGTTATTTATATAGTTTGGAAGAAAGAAGTCGAAGGTACGAAGCTCTGGATAGGACACGTAGGAAATTATTTTGTAAATTACAGTTGTAACTGGGAATTATGCTAATTTACAGTTGTAACTGGGAATTAGTTTATAATTTACAGTTGTAATTGGGAATTACACTAATTTACAGTTGTAACTGGGAATTATATTAATTTACAGTTGTAACTGGGAATTAGTTTATAATTTACAGTTGTAATTGGGAATTACACTAATTTACAGTTGTAACTGGGAATTAAACTAATTTACAGTTGTAACTAGAAATTAGTTTATAATTTACAGTTGTAATTGGGAATTACACTAATTTACAGTTGTAACTGGGAATTAAACTAATTTACCGTTGTAACTGTCAAGGATAATTCCCAGTTACAACTGTAATTTACAAAATAATTTCCTGTGTCCTATTCCAGAGCTTCGTACGAAGGAGCCGAGAAGCTGAGATGAGATTAAGTATTTGAGGGAGTCACTAATCTGAGAAATCCGAAGAAACCCAAGGGGCGTAGAAACGGGGGGGGGGGGGGGGGAGAGGTGTGCCGTCATTCACGGTAGTCTAATGAAAGGTCTTGTCGAAAGGAGTGAACATTTGGTAAATTTTGAGTCATCAGTCATTTTTTAGCTGAACGCCTTTACGTCGACGCCCAACCACACGGGCATGCCATTAATTCGAAGCGATAAGCGTCTCCTCGTTAAAGTGATACGTGCCACCCATCTCGGAGTGCAGAGCGGCTGTACTGAGCCGTACTGCGTTGTCGAAATGGACGAGCCGCCTCAAAAGAATCAGACCTCGGTGCAGAAGAGCACAGACTCGCCGTACTGGGACGAACACTTCTTATTGTACGCTGGACGCGGTGGCGATTTCGAATTTTTATTCTTGCGATTTTAGCGATCTATCTCCGAATACCGCCGAGCTGCTATTTGAAGTGTACGATCGTGCGTCGAAGCCGCCCCGTTTCCTGGGTCTCGGTATCGTAGGCGTGGAGGAGTTGCTGATCAATCCATCGCAAAGACAAATAATTACGTTGCAAAGCCGTCCTTACGAAAGCGATTCCGTTTCGGGAACGCTTACTGTTGAGGTAATTCTGCTCGCTGGGTTTACGCAACCTGCTCACTGGCGGTGATTCTAGTTTTTGTTCATCGAAGGTGCAGATATTCCAAACTTGAGTAATCAGCAGCCGTTTAAAGTTAAGGAAACTATCCGCAGTCCTTCGCCGAGTGGACCCATACGACACACGACCACTACTACATACCACAACGGTAAGAGTGCTCGCCACACCCCATTCGATATGGCCCCTCACTACTCAGATTCAGAATCAAGTTAAGAAGTGTATCAAAATTACAAGCTATTTAAGCCCAAGACTCAAAAAAAGCAAAAAAGCGGAGTTTGTCCGATTTAAATTAAGCGATTGGACAGTAGAAAAATTATTGTTGATTGACGCACTGTTGATCAGTCGCCTCTTACGACATGCAGTGGCTCTGCAGTAGGGTTATTCTTTCCCGACCCTACACGGGCAGATACCAAAACTCAAAATCTTCGATTTTCCATCGGGCTCCCGTTACAACTTTCATAATTAGTTTCACATTAAGCGAATTTATTGTGGGGGGGGGGGGGGCTACAAGTAGATACGACTAGGTGTGTGAAAAACTCCTAAATAGCGACTAGTAATTTTGATACAATTTTTGGATTGATTGTAGTAGTTGGCGGGTAGCTTCTTTGCAACGTTTATCTCGCAGATTCCTTAATGAACGGTGATCACCTCGCAGCTACCGCCATTAGCGATTTGGAGCACCATAAACCCCAGTACAACACAAATAAGAGCACGCTTGTCATTCACAGTGTCCAAAGGGTGAGTTTTCAATTGACGAAGGAGACAAAAATTCATTTCCATCTCTTCTAGCATCCATCGCAGCGTCTCGTTAAGGTAACTATACCATTTTTAGTCACCTTTCCTCTAAACTAACTAGTGACGAGTGCGACTTCTTTTTGACTAATTACTAACACAGGTCGAACTAAACCGCGAAGGCAATTGGAAGGAAGTCGAGCGTCTCGAAAAAAGCGTAAGCGAAACCGACGCGCCCGAAGACGCGCCGAACGGAATAATCACCGTTACCGATTTAAACGGTGGCGCCCCCGTCGCGACTAAACCATCGGACAGTCCGGTACGTAGGCGTTTCGTGTGATTTTAACTCTCCCCCCGCTTCCCCGACCGATCGATTAATCAAGTTGGTACACTTTCAGCAAGCCGAGTATTCGTCCCATCCGTCGGGAAATTATCTGTCGCCGTCGGCGACGCTCTCGCCAATAACGCCGCTGCACGACCAACATTTAGATTTCCGAGGACGGCCGAGGAAGAGGCGGGACTTCTTCGGCACAATAAAACGTAGGCTCAACAAATCGAAGGGACGCTCGAAGTCGGCCGGCCCCGGCGAGAACGATATCGGACGAGACGATTCGTTGAATCGTTCCATTTCGGCCGATCGACGAATTGATGGTAAGACGCTGATCCCTTTCCAAACGTAACTGCTATGTGTGACTAGCGATTTGTTATTTATTTGCTTCTGGGATTTCCTCTTTCAATTCGGACTATCTGTTTGATTTTTCGCAGGAAGAGAAGAAACGTCTAGGAGATCTAGTCTATCAGAAGCGTCGGGTTTGAGTAGCGCCTCTACAAGAACGTACGTCAACGAGGCGAGCACCTTAGTCTTGGAAACGATCGAGAACGGCGTAAAGAAACACTACCTGGTACCGTTGTCGCTCGCGCAAAAGTCGAAGTGGAGGAAAAAGGGCACCAAGTTGCACATTTTTAACGACCACACGTTTATCGCCAAGCATTTATCGGGGTAAGCGCGCGTCCCGTACTCGTTACCGACGCGCACATTAACGTTGCTCCCGTTGCAGTGGAACCATTTGTCAGGTGTGCAGTAAGAGCGTCGCCCGTCGAATCGGAAAGCAAGGTTACGAATGCCGAGATTGCCTCCTCAAGTGTCACAAGCACTGCCACGTCAAAGTGAACGACAACTGTCCCACATCTACCATCCTCAGCATTGAATTGTGAGTATAAATTGTCTCTCGTAAATGAGACAGTCGAATTAACGAATAATTTCTTTCTATGGGTCTCTTCTGCCCGTTTTGAGTGAATAAACAAACGGTAAGAATGAGTTGGGCTGTGCATGATTTGTAGTGTTCGTATGTATTACTGCTAGCTGGTTTTCCGGTCAAGTGCAAACCTGGTTAACCGAATTGTCCACAGGAGAAAACAGTTCTTAAAACCAAATTTCTTGTTAAACGATACAGCATTTTTTGCATTAAATACTAGTTGAAATTTTGGAAAAAGATTACAAAAAGATCCAAGGTTCTCAAGAGACAATGTAGAGCCTAAAGAATTGACAGACCCGAATGGCTTTAAAGGCTCCCGAAAAGGCTCCAAAAGACTATGAGCACCTTGACGCTAAGTGTTCTTCAAAACGTTCTGCCCGAAGGAATCTTTCCAAAAATTATGTTGTAAGTACTCTCAATGTCTTGGGGAAAACCAACTACCCGGAGGTCTGGATACCTCCCAGGCAGAAAAAGTGATTCAAGCTGCATTTCCCCAGAGCTACATGCTTCTCAAAACGTGCAGTCCCAAAGAGTCTTTCCAAAAAAATATGTTCGTCTTGAGAAAAATGTACCACCAGGGGGGTTATGGGGAGTAGGAAATACCTCCCAGGCATGAAAAAAGAAGGGCTTCGTTCACTGCCCGGTGCTAAGTGGTCCTCAAAACGTTCAATCCGAACAAAAAATATGTTCGTCTTGGAAAAACGCACCACGGGGGAGTCTGGGGGGTATGGAATACCCCGCAGGCATGAAAAAAGATTCAAACTACATTTTCCTACAACTTTCATAAGAACTTCGTTCACTGCCCGGTGCTAAGTGGTCCTCAAAACGTTCAATCCGAACAAAAAATATGTTCGTCTTGGAAAAACGCACCACGGGGGAGTCTGGGGGGTATGGAATACTCCGCAGGCATGAAAAAAGATTCAAACTTCATTTTCCTACAACTTTCATAAGAGCTTCGTTCACTGCCTGGTGCTAAGTGGTCCTCAAAACGTTCAAACTGAACACAAAATATGTTCGTCTTGGAAAAAACGTACCACGGGAGGGTCTGGGGGGTATGGAATACCTCCCTGGCATGAAAAAAGATTCAAACTTCATTTTCCTACAATGTTCATAAGAGCTTCGTTCACAACCCGGTTCTAAGTGGTCCTCAAAATGTTCAGTCCGAAGGAGTCTTTACAAAAAATATGTTTGTCTTGGAAAAAACGCACCACCGTCACAGTGGTGTGACCCCCCAGGCACGAAGAAAAAAGATTCAAACTCCTACAACTGTCATAAGGGAATTTTTGGAGTCCGTTGTATATTTTTCATGGTGGGCCCACAATAAAGCCCTCCGGCTCTGTCAAGTTACAATGGTAAAAAAATTAAAAATTGTTTTAAAAAATGCATGGCAAAATTAGTTAGGCCCCAAGCGCAAATTTCCACACTTTTTGTGTGGACAGTAGCCGCCACTAACAGTCCGTTTTCTTTTACAGGAGCTACATTGCCAATCCATACACTGACAAAAACATTCGTATGCTTTAACTAGGTAAAAAAAAGGTTTCGTCAGCATAGTTTTTATAAACGGGTAGTTTAGAGCGTTAGTTACAATTTGCACAAAACAAACTGTTGCTTTTGTTAAAGGGGAAATCTCACAAGGAGCGATGTTTTTTTATTTATTATTATTTTACCGACTTGTTGTGTACTTGGTGCATAGTTTAACTTTCGTTATTTTTATTTATTTGTACATACACTTTGTAATCATTAATGGGTATTTGTTGGCGATCGTCAGTCTCATCCCGGGACAGAGACTGCTACCAGTGAGAGGAAATTTTCCACAAAAAAAAACCTATTCAATTTTATGTGATTTTTTATGTACTTTAATAATTCTTACTTAATAAGCTATTTCCGCAAGACAACTTCATATCTACCGCTGAATTTTAAAAATTGTTCCTGTTGCGCTTCAAGCTTCATGCTTTGAAAAAAACTTGTACTCTTCAATCCCGTTTTGTTTAATATATGAGAAAGATATTTTAAACTGTTTCAAGTTTTAAATTTTATATAAATGTGAAGTGCCTGTATCAGAGAGGTAGCTGTAAATTCATTTTTTTCGTCATTTCGTTTATGAAGACAGAATGTGTACTTATTCGATATACAAAGTTAATGGAATAAGTCTTAATTTAGTACTAATTTTGTTAGTTGCATAAATAAATAATTTTTGTTTCTAGTTTGTTTATTGCTCCGCCAAAATCTACAGCAATATTACTAATTACATTGGTTTGTGAGGTGTTTTGTTCCTTGACGTTGTCCTCTTTCACCTTCTTCCTTGCTAGCCCTACGGTCACATCTCACATCTCCTGACCGGACTACTCTCTTACACGCCTCCTCTCCTTACACTTCGATCGCATCCTCTTGATTAACCCCATGTCTCTCCAAACCCCCTCCAGATTTTGTCACACTGTAATTCCAGGGCGAAGACCATAACTAAAATATGTCAAGGTCACATGCGCTGTCATAAAACAAATCAAAAATTCTCTAAAAGAAAGTCCTGGAAGGTTCCATGGCTCCAAGGATTTAATATTCCAAATATTTGTTCCAGAAGGAGCGGAAAGGTTCATCCGGTACTGTAACGTTGACTTACAGTTGGCAACTCTGTGGAAAAGAATACATAATAAGCAGAGCCATCTAACCTTTATGCCGAAACGTTTATGTTGGTCGTGAGATACGATCAGGATCAAATTCAGAGTTTTGTGCGTAAGAAAAGACAAGAACCAATTAAATACCGTGCGTAAATTTTAACTCTGATCATGCTTACAAATTCCATGTTCCTAAATTCTTAAAAAAAAACAAGTCAAATACGCCCTTGAGATATGCAACCAAAGCTACCTACTTTCATTTTTTTCAAATGTTTTTTCGTCAATATCTAAGTGAAATGTATGCAAAAGAAGAAAAAATGGAAATGTTACAGATGTATTTCAATAATCACGGCACAATTCACAACAGCAATAAATTTCATGTTGGTGTCTGAATTGTTAATGAATATTACACCTGAAAAAGAACGGTCGTATTGAGTTGCCTGGTCTCCCACGAAGGGTACAACACAGTCTCTAGATTTCGGCCCTGGAGACAGTCCAGACCCCTGAGAAATAAGAGAACGGCGAGGAGAGGATAGTTTAGATAGGATATATGGGGGAGGCGATTGGACTCGCCGCCTCCCCCGCCCATTGATCGCCTTTTACGATCTCCAGGATCGGAGTGGGCCAATTCTACCCCCGAACCCACAGGGGGAGACTGTGCGCTTTTATGTTTTATTTTTAAATTTATCCGCTGTGACTCAAACCGGTAAGTATCATATGATTCCTTCACCATTAAAAAAAAAGCAATATACTGTACAGTCGCCATTTTGAAAGTTTTTATCGTGTTTATGCTTATTTAAAAGGCGAGAATGCTTCCGCATTGTATAATAATAGAAGACAGATTTTTTTTTATAAAAAACACATGAAAAAATTCTAAGGAGATTTGATGACACTTTCCCGAAAGCTATTGTCATGGTAATTTTCGAAAGAAGGTCTGTGCTAAAGTGTATGTATTCCATACCCCCAAACCTTTCCAAAGTTTTCATTAACACCTGACACAATTCGTGGACACGAGAACAAAAATCCGACATGAAATCTCTATCCGAATCTCACAAAGGATTCGAATAAACACACAATTAATTAATTGACAATGACAACAATTTATTCCGAAAGACATTCAATGCAAAATTAAAACAAAATTTCTGAAGGAAAAAAAGCTTACAAAGCTTGTTTGGATACGATACCCCGCACGCGGGCGCTCGACAAATAAAATAAAAAAATCTTAAATTAAAAAAGGCTTGTGCAAAATTATAGAAAGAATCTGGCTCGCTGTAAAAAAGTTCTTCCCAAGTCTCATCCCTTGTACGTTCTGTCCTGAGCGATGTAGGTCTTTTAAAAAGCTAGCTGGTCTCTCCTATATCGATGGAAAAAAACTGTTACCGTTTTACAATTTCCCAAACCTTTCAAGGGCGTTTCAGGTTTACTTTAGTTCTATAGCATTCCGCCATTTTGCTACATGTTCTCTAAACGTGCTAAAAGTTCTGGAAATGGAGTAGCTAGTTTTGGAAAGATGCTACAGACGCTTAAAATTTTTTGGAAAAACCTCAATTACATTGAAAAGCGATTTAAAAACGGGGGCCAGCTAGCTCTGGAAATGGAATAAAAAGCAATAGAAACAAACTTAAGGGACTCTGGAAGACTGGAAGGTCATTTTTCGTCCGAAACGTTAGAAGACAGGATCTACAACGCTCTAGAAATGAGTTTGGAACAAATGCGCGTTTCACGAGAGATTTGGAACGTTAAAAAAATCTAAATATGATGGTCTTATTTTAGCTGCTCTTGGAAACACTTGTAAGGTTTTGGAACACTCTCTTGCTCTATGAGTCTTTGAAAATATTTTTAAAAATGACCGAAATGCCCTTGGAGATTTTTGACAGTTTCAAACGTAGTGAGATGCCCCAACCTTAGCAACGTCCTGTGAATATGATTGTCGATACGAAGCACCCTATACATCATGTTAGTTACACAAGCTGCCAACCTAAATCTGGTGGGATTACAGAAAAGGGAAAGAGAGCGAAGATGAGACGGATGGAATTTCTTGGAAGACCACATGTGTTTACAATTTCAAACACCTGCAGTCCACTTTTTTCTTAGAAATGCGTGAAATGCAGGGAATGGGCGATTTTCGGGTGGTTTTTAGGGATATTAACAGATCAAATTACCGCGTGGCTTGGGTTGGTCAAATAAATAGGATTTAACATGTGTCTTCATGATCTTTGCCTTGTAACCGGCTGAAGTGTAAAGTACCGTTTGTCTTGAAATATTTTTATACCATAATCATTGCTGTGTGCTTTTGCATTGTTATATAAGGTGAGGTATTTGCTTTATTCAATTAATCTATAAATGTGTGTAACTTGAATGCAGATTGTAACCCTTTACTTATGTACTTACAGAATTCAATCACTTGCACCCTTAATGTGTAACCTTTGTTGGTATTGGCAATCATGTTTCATTGTCGGTAGGGCTGTATCTGTGCTTTACATACTTGCATGTGTACATATTTAATTTGTGTATTGTGCTTTTTAGTCACTCTCGATTATTTCATTGCATTTCATTATATTTGCTTATTTGGGACTGTGAGTAATCAAGAGGCAAGTGTGCTTGTTTAGAGGGGATCGAGTTATTCAAGTTTATACGGCCTTGGTGAACCTAACACTAACATTTTCACTCGTTCCGAACCTAACAACTTTAGCCCAGGACTACAGGGTCTCCACTGGTCTTGGGTAATCCTCCCGCCCGGCGAGGTATATTTGACATCTCTTAGTTTTGTCCGATGTATGTGTTGTAATACCTGGGGAATGGCTCGATCCCATTTTGGTTACTCATAGCGTGTTTGTAGTAGTTACCCCGATTTCGAGAGGGCTCAAAAGTGCTGTACATTAGATGTTGTTCATTATAGGACTACTCCGAATTAGGTTTTCCTGCAGTTTTCCTAATTCGTAAGGTAAATGCCGGAGTAGTATAGAACCACTTAAGACCCTCTGCAGGTGGCACCGTTTTGGTATTAGCTTCAATATAAACTTAATCAGCTATTGCTTTTGGTGTTCCTTACCCATAAAACGCCCTCAGTGCCTGCTGAGAACCCAGTTATTACACAACGTAGGTGTCCTACATGACGATCACGATCTTAGTGCACTCGGAGTGGCCCCAGAGTGACAGATTCTCGCGGGAAATGTAAGCGAGAATATTCAAATAGGCAGCCATGTTAGTTTGGCATTCCCGCTACTACGGAATATGGTCCAATATCCCGGTGTGACTTGAAGTTGACGTTAGCTCGCCGAGATATTAGGAGGCTAAGATCATCACAGTAGTGAGGAGAAGTGCTCACTGCGGGACGGACCTTCTGGTAGCCTTTCGAAAGCGCTGAAATGCTTTGAAACTGTACTGAAAAGCGTTCACTAATCCAAGGCCTTACAATTAGCCTCCAATGTTTTTTGTAAAAGGGTCTACAAAGATCAGAGTAGGCTGTAGATTTGTTCACAGTTATGTAAATTATGGGGGGGGGGGGGAATAAATCGCAACAGCCAGATCTTCATTTGTTTTAGGAAGTTACTTTGGTTGCATAAAATTAGGCGTCTTTAGGAAGAGTTTTTGTCATTAATAGGGAAAATAATACACACAAACCCCTATGTCTACTTCTAAATGAATATCGCTGTATAAATACTTCCGATGAAAAAAGAGTTGCTATTAAGTCACCTTTGAAATTTTTGTTTACATATAGGCGACTCGACGTCAATTCTTTTTTGATCGACATTGGTAACTAACTCAGTTAATGTTGTGTAAATTGCTATATCATTGTGCTAGTTGTTAATGCTTAGTCTTAGAACTCTCATAAATATGATAATTGTTGTTATTTGGGGCACTGGGAGTGGGAGATACCCCCAGGCAAGGGAGATTTGATTCTAATCCCGAAAACACCTGCGAAATTCTCGGTGAGAGCCTGGTATTAAGTAATTTGGCACTTCTAAAGTTGCATTTATTAACAATTTTTGCCTTTACACACAAATACATTTGTCTAAGTTAAAATGTAGTGTTAAGTGAATAAAGTACAATTTTAAATTGCATTGCACAATAAATCACTTAACACGACGCAAAAAAACACAATCTAAATTGCATTACATGGTAGATCACTTTTTGAAACGATGCACAATTAGCTCTCCAAAAAACACCATGGTAGATAATAACAAACCACAAATGAATAACGCAAAGACACCACTGAGGTGCTCAAAAGAAAAAGCCACCACCTCCTCCTTAGAAAATGAAGTCTCTCTTCTTCGTCTCGGCGTAGACCTTTCTATCTCGGTCCAACTTGTCGTACAATCCAATTTCAGTTAGTTTGTCAATAATCTCGTTCATACTGTCAATTACGTAAGGGTAGCCCTCGGTCGCAAATACATTCAGGACAGTCGGCAACATTTTATTCTCAACAAAGTAAGGGGGACTCGGTACTTTCAGACTCAATTCCAATGTCTTGAGAGGTGTGGAGAATGAGAAGCTTTTATTAGCGTACCACATTTTTCCTAATTTCTGTGCGTAAGTAATTTTCTTACGTCGTTGATCTTACTCTTTAAATATATTTTTAGGGAGATATTTTTGAAGAAAATCCGCGGACTCGTAATCTAAATAAATGGAAAGATTCGTCCCCATCAGCTCCTCTAAGCTCTCAATAGGTATGTTTTTCCGTTGGTAGCGACATCAACAACCGCATTAGTTCCGCAAGGTACGCGGTTTGTATGTGTATACTGTATATGATGTAACACATGATTAAGAATCTTGAAGTTGAACCGTTGGGAATGCAATTGGAGCTGCCACAAAATGTGATACTGACAGTGTTCATTATGAGTATCCAAGCTCACATTAAATCGACAGATAACGTACCAAGCTACGGCGAATAACACAAAAGCCAGAAGAATTGATATCCAAACTTCTTTCTTGAAGGCAACTATACCAAAACCTCAATATACGATATTTTATCTGCTGGAGGAACAACGAATACAATGTTGTCTCTGGCAAACACATGACTGACACGATAATCGTGAAAAACATCAATCGTCAGTGACATATCTCCAAGTATAGCCCATTCTGGGAGATTGTAGTCCACAATAATGACCATAGAAATGTTTAATAATTCCCGCGTAACATTTAAGGTATAGTCTCTTGGATCGTAGTGGTACCGAAACTGAATAAAGTTGACTATAATTGAGAGGCAGCCATTATAGTTCCTGAAAGGTTTAGGAATCGTGTCCGTAATTGAACCGCTACAACTTTGATTGTGGATCACGTTTAATTGGCGCCCGCAAGCATTCAACGGGTCGTTTGGATTTGCCGTAAATAAGAGCGACTTGCTGCAGCTATGTAGGTCGATCGACAACACTGCGGCGTAGATGGCGTTTCTCTGCCAAAACCACTTCAGGGACGCTTTCGCTAAATCGTTTTCATCGGTTACCACTAGAAACCGTTCATTGTATAACGTATGTTTATTTTCTATCAAATAGGCCATGCTTTTCTTAAATGTGCTTAAGTTTGCAGATTGAATTACGAAATTGTAGAAAGGCCATCTCAGACGCCTCTTCTCTGTGCTAGTGTTAACAAGAATCTTGCTATTACTTACATGGAACGGTAAGAGATGGTTCGACATATTATGGTAAACGAAGTAAAGGGGTTGTTTTCCAAAAATCGTTTCAACAGCCTTCGCGCCACATACTTCCAACGACCGCGAAGACACGCCGATTCCAATTTGCGAATTGTGAATTGAACGCAGAAAAATTGCGAAGAGAACACAAAGTGGAACGCTGCCTTTCATTTCACGTACCCGAAGTTACTTCAAAAACAAATGACGCGAGGTAAAGTAAAACTCGAGCTAGAGCTTTTTAATGCAATCGATTATTGATTTTAGTAGTAATTTTCTGTTTGTGGAGTCTTTCAGTGTATAATTTCGTGTTGGATATCAGACCGTTAAAAACATAGTAATGGTATTTAATCATAAAGCTCGTGTTTACCGAGCAATTGAGTAATAATACAGTACAGCGCTAACAGTGGAAACAAAACCTTTCATATTTATTCGAATGTTCTGTCTTTATTTTATAGTAGACGTGTATAAGTAGATACCTAATTCAATTATTTCCACAGAAAAGGTCCAAATTTGGAAAAACCTTATAAGTTTTTAAAACGTCTAATGCCATTGAGTATATCCTTCCTTTGCTTTACCGTGTAATGTTATTAACTAATTATTATTAATTATTTGAGAGCCGCAAAAGGTTTCGTCCAAGAGCCTATAAAAATCTCCTAGGTCTTTATGAGCCTCAGATAGTGACGTTAGCATTTAAAAGCTCTTAATACCCCTGAAAAGACCTATCCGAACCTTTATAAAACCGTCTTTCAAAGCTTGTTTTATTAGTCTCTTGACCCAAACACTACCCAAGAGTCTCCAGAAAATTTAATTTGCAATCAATAAAGATAAAAAGAGTCGGGGTAACTACGGGCCTGTATACGTCAACGATCAGTATTAGTCTGGCAACATGTAGAAATGTTAATATGATTCAATAAAGAATATTATTCAATGATATCAATGAATAAAGAATCTTCAGATCTATTATTCAATCTGGAAAATTTAAAAAAATCTGCATCGACCGGGTATTGAACCCTGGTCCCCTCCTTGAACTCGTATAAAGCGATTGGCGAAGGTTTGATATCGCTGTCTCTTTTCGTTGTAGAGGAACAGACAGACGGACGACATAACCATCACATATAGGGAAATTGTTTCTTTCGAAAAATTCCCCTAAACACCGATGCGATGCTCCGTTGTGGCCGTACCCTTTAAGATATCAATTTGAAATTTGAGGGGAGGGGGGGGGGCATAAAATTGACAATACACTCTACGATTTTTTAGCGTATTTTTTAAGAATTAAAAAAATGTGCTATTGTTTGCGTTTTGTCCGTCCGGACCCACTTCTACCGCTTTGAACTACTTCTAGAGGAATCGTCCTAGAGTTCTGGAATTTTTTGCAGTAGGTAGCCTATACCTCGAAGGTGTGCCAGGCGGCCATCAAATTTCGCTATCTAAAAGGGAAACGCATGCCTTTAGTGGTGCTAAGTTAAATTTTAGAAAATGGGGGGGGGGGGAAACACATGTTCTACGGACTGGAGAGGGGGGGAGTGGAACTAGTTTTATCCTTCATGGTACTCTAATGAAAAGTCTCAACTAAAGGAACTAATTTCTACCAACCATAGCCCTCCTCCTCGACCTCTTATCGTGATCGGATGTATTCCCTTATACCTCAAGAACGGATTGTCGGAAGAGGGTACTCACAAAGGGCGATTGAGACGTCTCCAAGAAATATATCCATTGGTGATGTCAAAACAAAGGCTATTTCGGTTTAAAAAAAATGCGCTTTATCTGCACAAGAGTTGTGCACAATTTATTTAAATGAAATGTATGTGGGCATTTTCTCTCCCAGGCCTTGGAAGCCTCGTGGATAGATATGTCCGAGACAAGGAATAATAAAGGGTTGAGTGGTAGAGCAGACGGGGTCATCTTGGTACCTCCAGTCTGAATTCCGCCCTGTCTTACATAAAACTCAATAAATGTCATTATTATTATTAAAAATTACTCGCTAATAATCATAAACATGTTAATTGTTTTGTACATTTTGGGGGGAAACATAGCACCTGGAGTGGGGGCTATGGAATACACCTGGAAAAAAAAGTTTTGATTCCTTTCCCGAAAGCAACTCGGAAATTCTCGGTCCTTGGATTTAATTGGTATTGAATAATTTGGAACCTCTAAATTTTCGTTTATTAACAATATCTGCCTTTAACACGCAAATATATTTTATTATGTTAAAATTTAGTGTTAGTGAACAAACTACAATTTTAAATTGCATTGCACAATAAATCACTTCTAACGTTAAGCAAAAAAACCACAATCTAAATTGCATTACATGGTAGATCATTTTTTAAAACGATGCACAAATAGCTCTCCAAAAAACGCCACGGTAGATAATAACAAACCACAACCGAATACCACAAAGACACCACCGAGGTGCTCAAGAGACAAAGCTACCACATCCTCTTTACAAATGAAGTTGCTCTTCTTCGCCTCTGCGTCGAACTGTCTATCTTGATCCAACTTGTTGTACAGTCTCTTGTAAAAGTAATGTCCCTCGGATACCTACCACTGTAGCATAGGCAACCAACATCCCAGCCGACTAGTCCAAGTTGGATTTGCGGGTGTGGGAGGTAGTTAGGTATCTAATGCGGTTCGTTTTCAGAAGGTATTCCCACTTTGCCAAACTAAAAATAAGTTAGTAGAATGAAAATGAATGGCATCGATTTATTAGCTCAAAAGATCTGCGCTGCTTTAACCTATCCTTGGTTTAATACAATAGAAATTTTTACATTTCTTTCAATTGGTTTGGTGCGTTTTAAATTTGGAAATTGTTTAGCTAAAATAATGACCTTTTACTTTTAATTTTTTCGAGTAGATTTTCTTCTAACAAAATAAATGTGATGATTTTGTCGTTTTATACTGACATTGAAATTGAAGTCTCATTATTAATTACTCGGGCCTCCTAATGGAATGCGATTATCTGCACTGGAAGCGCAACAATGCCGTTCCTTTTGTAACTACCACCTCCCACTCCTTTCAAACCCCGGGATGGCACCCGCGGAAAAATTCAGCTGTTTTAATTATTTTTCCCTAATTTCTAATCATTTCACCTGCATGAAAAAGCCGGTTTAACTGGTAACTAATTTTTTTGTCAAAAAATATTATACCTATAACCTGGACTAAATATGCTTATAATACGCCTACCTACTCAAAAATATGCAACGTAAAAGCTCTCCTAAACTAAATTCGATATTAAATCAACCACGACCAAGTATCACAAATGCATATCATTTAATTTCTGATGCTAGTTACAAAAGAAAGGTATTGTTGCACAGTGCACTTGTAGGTCAATTAATCGCATTCCATGAGGAGACCTACTCGCAAGCAAGTAATTATTAATGACACTGGAATTTCAATGTCATTAAAGGACAAGAATATCACCTTTATTTCGTTAGAAGAAAACCTACTCAAAAAATTAAAAAGTGAAAAGCCATTATTTTGTCTTAATAGTCTCTAGCTAAACTATTTGCAAATTTAAAACGCACCAAACCAATTGTAAGAAATGTAAAAATGTTTACTGCACCAAGCCAAGGATATGCAGCGCAGATCTTTTGAGCTAATAAATCGATGGCATTCACTTTTATTCTACTAACTAGTATTTAGTTTGGCTAAATGGGAATATCTGCTGAAAATGAACCGCTTTAGATACCTACCTACCTCCCACACCCGCAAATCCAACTTGGACTACGCGGCTGGGATGTTGGTTGCCTATGCTACAGTGGTAGGTATCCGAGGGACGTTACTTTTACAAGAGACTGTACAATCCACTTTCAGTCAGCCGAACAATAATAACGGCCATGCTATCAATAAAGTACCCGCGATTCGTAGCCGCAAGCACATTCATGACAGTCGGCAAAATTTTATTCTCAACAAAATAAGGAGGAGAGGATACTTGCATATCCAATTCAATCGATTGCAATGTCTTGAGAAGTATACCGTATGAGAAAGTTTTATTAGCATACCAGTTTTTTGTTAAGTTGTGTGGGTTATCGTCATAGTAATGTTTACCTCGCACGCGTAACCTACCAAGTGTATTATTGAAATCTGACAGTTGAAACATGTGCGCGGACTCCAGATCTAACAAAATTGAAAGATTCGTGCTCATCAGCTCGTCTAAGCTCTTAATGTGTTTTCCCGTTGGTAGCGCCACTAGCAATCGCATTAATTCCGCAATGTACGCCCATTGTTTATTTATTTTATTTAAGCGCCTCGAGATGTAATCTTGGTGCTCAGGCAATAATACTGGACTTCTCTACCTTGATATATAATGTACTATTATTACTAACAGACTGTATAAAACACGAGCGGCCGATAAGAAGAAATAGGTTGCCGCTTTGTAATGACTGCTATTTGCGGAAAGCTCATTACTCTCTTCAACTGAAAGCTGAAGGTACGACTAGCTTTGCTGCCCAAACAGATATGGTTTTTGCATGTTATTTACTTCAATAGCCATGTCACAACTGTTTTTCTAACCACTGGTAATTATATTCCAGAAAATGATGGCAAAACGTACAAGTGGACCTAACGTATATATACGGTTTCCTTTTAAAGGAATTTTTCAAAAGAAATTGCCCTTATGTGATGGTTTTGTCCGCCCGTCTGTTCGTTCGTATATCCATCTGTTCCTCGTCTAAACTTGAAAACGAAAAGAAACAGCGACGTTAATCCTTCACCAATCGATTTCAAGGATTAGTGCTAAATATTGAAGGATCCTTAACTCGGTCCACCACGTTTTTAACGTCCATTTATTTCAACCTTGCAAAATACTAATAAATAAATTTGAATCTAGGGCATCATAATAATGCTCTTGGTCTATTTCCCAACGATCTTGGTGCATGAATAACGATTTTGACATGATTTGATCAGAATACATATGGTCAACAATTTGGTGGAAATAAACACATTATTATTATGGTCGGTGTTTCTTGTGAGAACTCAGGTCTAGCCTGGTTAACTAATCGCACGGATTAAAATCAAGTAACGATTAGTGTCTGTGTCTGTGAAGTTATGTAGGGTCCTTAAAAAAAAAAAATAAAAAAAAATCACACACGTACATTGGACATCTAGGGATAGTATGTAATTCGTACTTACCAACATACCTATTGCACAATAGCCAACGCTATCAGGAAAGAGGAAAACAAAACAAAACAAAACAAAAATCATTATAATAATTCCTGTAATTTTATTAAATGGAGTTTATTGTGTAAGTGTTTCTTTGGCTTTGCGTTTGGGTTGAATACGAGTGGGTTGTGATAACGTGGTGTGTTTCTGTGAAGAAGGAGTTTTGTGTTTTTTAATTGTATTTATGGTGTTTTTTTGTTCCTGAGGTCGTATTTGTGAGGTTGCTTGGGTTTTTGGTGGAGATATTGCAGTATTTTGTGAGCCTGTGGTACTGTTAAGGTTTTTGCGCTTCGGTTGTATACGAGTGGGTTGTTTCTGAGAAGAAGGAGTATTGTGTTTTTTAACTGTGCTAGGGCGTGTAACTTTATTGGATGGACCTGTCTTTGTAGTACATGTTGCGTTACTTGTATTTATGGTGTTTCTTTGTTCTTGAGGTTGTATTTGTGAGGTTGCTTGGGTTTTTGGTGGAGATATTATAGTATGTTGTGAGCATGTAGTTCTGTTAAGGTTTTTGCGTTGCGGTTGAATACGAGTGGGTTGTGATAATGTGGTGTGTTTCTGTGAAGAAGGAGTTATGTGTTTTTTAACTGTGCTAGGGCGTGTAACTTTATTGGGTGGACCTGTCTTTGTAGTGCATGTTGCGTTACTTATATTTATGGTGTTTCTTTGTTCTTGAGGTTGTATTTGTGAGGTTGCTTGGGTTATTGGTGGAGGCATTACAGTATTTTGTGAGCCTGTAGTGCTTTTAAGGTTGTTGCGTTTCGGTTGAATACGAGTGAGTTGTTTCTG